GGGGGGGGGGGGGGGAACAGCCACACAACACTTTGATCTGAACTTAGAAACAAACTGGGCACCAGTACAGGCGAAACAAGATGACTGGCAAAGCAGGCACAAAAAAAGCTGTAAATGGTGCATATTATAATAATCCATTTAGCATAATAAAGCTAACTGAAGCACAAAACCATTCAGCATAAAACTAGGGTGACCAATTTTCACCCCCACTGAAAATTCCCCTCAGTAGATTGGTCTTAGTTTACCAGCTTCCTTGGCGCTTAAGAAAGAGAAAACCCGATCGGCTCCAACCAAATGTGCTTTGGAAGCCATATGCAGGATCACAGGGTCGGAGGGGCTCTTCAGATATTCTAACACCAAGCCATTTAAGGTGTTGTGAAGGGGGGAAAAAACAGCCACATAGCACTTTGATCTGAATTTAGAAACAAACTGGGCACCAGTACAGGTGAAACAAGATGACCAGCAAAGCAGGCACAAAAAAAGCTCAACCCTTTTCAAAAGCAGCTCCACAATTAGCATATGGTAGTAATCTAGTCTGGATATGACCCGATTATTGTTGTCTGCTCTACTGTGACAGTGTCTAAATAGGCTCTGTTGCTGTGACAATGCAAAGACATCTTAAGCCACTACTTGCATACAGAAGGATGCTCTACTGTGACAGTGTCTAAATAGGCTGTGACAATGCAAAGGCATCCTAAGCCACTACTTGCATACAGAAGGGCTGGGATCGGATTCAGATATACTCCCAAGTGGTGGATTCAATAGATCTTCAATGCAGAGTGGCCCTTTCTAGGCTAGGCCTTATTTCCACTCCTAGTTCAGTTGAACCTCTGGTCTGGATTAAACCTTGGTTCATTAGCCTTCATCCAGTTCATTAGTGCACTCAGAACCTAGTTCAAAACATCTACTGTCTCCTTGGCATTGGTTGAAAAGGAGAACAAGAGGATCTCACATTGATGATCGGTGTGGTAGGTTTTTATCTATCTAATTGCTGTGTGTCTTGATAAAATACCTGAACCTGCATTGTGATATGAGAAAGCAAAACTTCAGAGATGGAGGGACAGATGTGCCATTTATACATGCTATAGACCAAAGACATAGCAGCACAAGATTTAACATGTGATAACACCCCAGGGCTTGGAAATATAACATTATTGGATTACAATTCCCAGAATCCCTCAGCAGCCACAGGAGTTCTTAATCCAGAAATGCAATTTGGGAAGTCTTATTTGAAACATTCAGTTATTTCTAGCAAAACCCTGGTTCTCACCCTTATAATCCCTTTATAATCCAGGTTCCCCTCTTCATCCCAGTTTCCTTTACAATCATCTGCCTTTTCACGGTGGGAATGTCTTTCTACTCGGACCCAGTCAGTATCAGCATCGGCTGCGCCATGGTTTTAAGTGGCTTTCCAGTTTATTATTTGCTCACGAACGGATTCATGCCGAATGGTTGCCGTACTACATTCTGTAAGTAGATGCTAATTGATTTTGAATTATTGTCTTTAATATACCATCCTTATAAATAACTGCAGGAGATGCCATCCAGTCTCCCATAGGCATAGATTCCCATATAGGTAAAGGTAAAGGTTCCCCTTGACATTTTAGTCAATCATGTTCGACTCTAGGGGGCGGTGCTCATCCCCGTTTCCAAGCCGTAGAGCCAGCGTTTGTCCGAAGACAGTTTCCGTTGTCACGTGGCCAGTGCGACTAGACACGGAACGCTGTTTACCTTCCCACTGAGATGGCACCTATTTATCTACTCGCATTTACATGCTTTCGAACTGCTAGGTTGACGAGGAGCTGGGACAAAGCGACAGGAGCTCACTCCGTCATGAGAATTCGATCTTACGACTGCTGGTCTTCTGACCCTGCAGCACACAAAGGCTTCTGCGGTTTAGCCCGCAGCGCCACCACATCCCTAGATTCCCATATAGGTCTCCCTAAAAATGATTTGGGACCCAGATATTTGAAGGAGCACTTCTCCCTCTATGAACCTGCCTGGATCTCTAAGATCTGATGGGGAGGCCCTCCTCTGTGACCCGCCATTTAAACCTGTTCAATATGAGGAGACACACGGGGGAGGACTTTCTTGACTGTAGAATGCCCCTCCCCTTGGAGGCTTGACTGGTGCTGACATTGGCATCATTTTGGCACCAAGTCAGAACATGCTTATTAATTTGACCCTTTGGGGGAGGGGTTGAGGATCATGTCCTGCACAGAGTTTAGTTTAAAAGTCTTACTGCTCTAATGTTCTAAATGCATGTGTTTATTTTTAAATTAGTTTTAAAGATTTGAATGACTGATTTTAAAGACCGACTTTAAATTGCTGTGAAGATTTTTTTTGTTGTTTTTAATTTGGTTTTACGTGGCTCCGCAGTCAGTTCTGAGATCTTGTGATACAGGTCAGACTTTAAATGTTTTGAAAAAATAAATTAAAAATAAATAAATACAGTCATAACAAAGTTTTCTTCACATCCTGGGTCATTTTATATGCTGGCTGTGGCAGGGAAGAGGAGACCAGTATATACCGTATCTTCCATATCCCCATTTGGGACTCCCTTTCAAGCTCTGAAATCATATAAGTTGACCAGTTGTAGGACATAGGTTGGGTAGGAATAGAAGAGTTTCATACAGGTCTTCCATTCTCTGCAGTGGCTCAGTAGGATTCGTACAAATATACCCAAGGGCATGCACTGCAAGATGAATAGGAGAAGGTTTTATCCTCCTGTTGCAGGTGTGGGCATAACTATGACACTCTTAAGGTTCCATCCATGGTATATACAACCTTGAGCATCTCTGATGCCACTCAGTTTTGGAAGTTAAGAAGAGTCAGGCCTACTTAGTTCTGGGATGGAACATCACCTCACCAGGAATTTCCAAGTAGAGCCAGGAGAAAATCCAGTATAAAACTATGGAGAGTTTCTGCCAGTCAGAGCTGGTCATACCAGGCTAGATGGATGGATGCCCTGGCTCAGCATAGGTAAATATAAAACATAGGCACTATAAAATGTTGCTTGTTACCCTAGTAAAGTAACTTCATTTCTGCTTGTTACATTATTTTTGAAATATAATTTTATTACGTCTTCACTACCAAGTGACTTGTTACAAGTAAAGACATGGCCTGCAAACTGACACAGCTTCCTCTTTGGGAACTGCATTACCTGTAACTCATTACTTCCAAGCTCTGGATATAAAAACAATGACCCAAAGCTTGTGAGCAGATCATTTCATGTGAATGGATAAACTGGTGGATATTTTTCAAATGTTGTCATTGGGAAAGTTGTGGTTGCCACGTTCTTGATCAACCATTACTGGAAAGCTCCATTAATTAAGATTTTATCCAATACTGAAATAAAACGTTTATACATTTGAAACCCCATTACATGAGATATTTCTACTTTTACAATGTATTTTCTTTCTGCAGATTATCTTACGTTGAAGCTTCAGATACTCCTGAAGGTCGTACAACAAGAGATCAAGACTTATTGAGGAGCATAAACCAGGGGGCATTACAACCCTCTCCTGAAATATGCCTTTCAACACTGATTACATGAAGCTGCCTTCTCTGTTCGCTTATAATTCATGTCACGCCATGGAGCCCATATCTCCTGGAATTACTACTATTTCTGCTTCCAGTTTGGTGTTTTTAACACTGGATGGATAAGTCACAAAGTGATCAAAGGCCCTGGAAAGCTTGTGTGATAAATCACACCGTGAACTGTGTTAGAGTTGGCACCCATGCTAGTCCTGATGTTGGCTTCATCTGCCATCCAGGTGGGCATGAGTGAATCTAACCTCTGATTTTTGGCTCACAGGGATCCACCTGAATCCATGCTCCATCGATCAGTGCAAGCTTCTGTGGAGTGAACAGTTATTTGTTGATTTTGAATTCGTATTGTACAGAATGAGGGAAAATTGCCTTGTCATCTAAAAAATGACAGCTCCCATTTTTCCAAGCTATGGTATTGCATGTCGTTGATGTTATGTGTCATCAAGTTGCCTCTGACTTACGAAGACCTTATGAATGAGTAATCTCCAAAATGTCCTGTCCTCAACAGCCCTGCTCAGCTCTTGCAAACCCAAGCCTGTGGCAGTCAGTCTGTCTCATAGTTGGTCTTCCTCTTTTCCTCCGGCCTTCAACCTTTCCCAACATTATTTTTTTTCCAGATATTGAATAATTGTTATTATTAGCCAATATCTTCTCTTCCATGTAGGCCTTTTAAATCTGGTTTGGCCATTGTGCTTTGGTCAAGGGCATCCATTTCTTTAGAAAATTCAAAAGAGACAAGGGTGTGTTTTGCTGTCCTGGTGACAGGCATACCTTTTCTGTGGAGTCAAATATGCAGGATCCGCCCCCGGGGGGGGCATATGGCCCCCATTGAGAATGCCTGACTAGATGATCTTTTATGTCCTTTCCAATTCTGTGAATCTCTGAACTAGGAAAGCAGATCACATAGGATTTTCCTTTACTCTTATGCCACTGCCACCATGCCAGGCCCTCACCTGGCCTTGTTCTGCCTCCTTGAATTTTCTGTTCTTCAACAACACGGGGGTGGGAGATATTGTTGGGTTGTTGTGTTTTTATTACAACTCCACAGCTTACTCATTGGTCCTTCTGGCTGAGGAAATCTGCAAGTTATAGGTTAAAAGGGCACTTTTCCAAACTTTGAGTGGAAACTTAATGCTGTCTAAGTGTTTTCTTCCACAGAAAGCTGCTAGTGTATACAGATTTTTTAAAAAAGTCTAATTATGTCAGTAAAGGAATATTTCATAAATTTACATTCACCTATCCATCAGTGCAGTGGGAATGTAGCTACTGTATTTTTCCATGTATAAGACAATACTTTTGTCTAAAATCTTTAGACTAAAAATTGAGGGTCATCTTATACACGGAAGTAAGTTGAGGAGAGAACAAAAACAAGTGGAGGGGGAAAGCAGGGATCAAAGTGATCCTGCAGCACTTTGATCCCTGCTTTCCCCCTCCACTTGCTAAGCCCCGTGGGGCTTAGCAAATGGAGGGGGAAAGGGATCAAAGCAATCTTGCAGCTGCACGCGGGGGAAATGAATCAAAGCAATCTCATGGCTCCATGAGGGGAAAAGGGATCAAAGCGATCATGCAGCCATGAGATTGCTTTGCTCCCTTTCCCCCTCCACTTGCTAAGCCCCACTTAGATTTTTAAATTTTGGGTTAGAAAAATGGGTGTGTGTGTCTTATACACGGGGCATATTATACATGGAAAAATACGATAAATTCAGGCTGTCATCCTGTGTCTGGTGACTTGGGAGCAGTGATGTAGTGGAGCCAGTGCTTGTGGGATTGATGTCTTGAGATCTTCTGGGTAGCAGGGAATATAACATCCTCCCCCACCTCCTCTATAACCCCAGCTCCCTTTGTTCCCTCTGAGGTTAGCTGCATTACACACAGTAGCTGGGAGAGAAAGTCATCATTGATGCAGTGCAAAATATTTGAGGATGTTCTGGTCTTGAATGGGCAAATAAGAACCTTTAACTTTACCAAAGACTGTTCCTCAGTTTTTTATATGGACTGACCCAGTTGCCTGTTTTTTTGGACTCTCCTTACAAAGGGGGCACTTCCAAATTTGCCACTACTTGGGAGTGAGTCCCATTGAACTCAGATACAGTACTTATCTGAGTTAAATTGTATGAATGTTGAACTCAGATGCTTATCTGAGTTGAAATTTCATACAATTGGTGACATAATCTGAAATAACCAAAATAAACAGGATCTTTTGAACTTGTGCTTTCATTTGATATGCTCTAGAAACCTATGTAACTACTGTAAAAACACAGCTATATAGTAGTCAAGGATATAAACCACCTTGTATAACTCAGTCTACAATTATGGGTTTGAAATAAAAGAAGCGTTTCAGAAATGTTTAGTAATCTTTTTTCCTGGACAACTTTATCTGTCAGCATCTGAAAACAAGGCCTTGGAGGATTATGTCAAAGCTCTTTCTATATTAGTTTGTGGAAAGTAAAGACAGAGAGTAACAAGGAAGAAAGATGTGATTACGTACCATCATGTGCATGCACACAAACACAATACATTCTTTTGTATCAAGGGAAGGGGGAACAGTTCTGTACTTCATGAAAAGTTGTATCTGGATATGGATGTAGGTGCAGATAAGCTGGACAGTTTACTTAATAACATGAAAGTGGCTTTATGTGGGAACAAACAGACTAATTTGGGCTACAAGTATAAATATTCCTATATATAAGCAGAGGTGAAGATGATGAGGATGGCTATCAAGTTGATGCTGGATTCTGGCAACCTTCCCTTGGTGTTTCTAGGTGTAAAGTACACAGAAGTAGTTCACCAGTTCCTCATCTGGTGGTGGTCAGTGGCCTTGCAGCTTGTCCAAGGCCACACAAGTGGCAGGGCACACTTCATGCGCCACACATGTTCCAGGTGATCTTCATTGCTCTCTCTTTCCATGGGCACAGTGAGTGATTGGCACTCCCTCCCCCTGTCTCTTCAACCAGATGCTTCAACCCACTGAACTATACAGTTATATATAGAACCAGGATGTTTTTATGACTAATTCCCAGAATCCCCCATGGCTAGTAGCCATATCCTGGAGATTTTGTCAGAGGTGAATGGAAACAAGACAATGTTTTCAAGCTCTGCTTATGAGTGAAACTCATTAAACTTACTCCTGGCAGTTATGCATGAGATCACTGCTGCAGAATTTTAAATTTCTGGTCAGATTCCTTTTGCTATGCAGTAGAAATACAAAGACTTACAAAGGAGAATAGCCACAAGCTCCTCAGAGTTCATTCCTTTCTCATTAACTGACACTTAGTTTCAGTAACTCACTCTGAGACATTTGTAGGAGAAAGAATAAAAAGTGTTACTTACAATTGCTTGACTCGTACATACTGTTTTCTTTACTGTACATATACTGACAACAAACCAAACAGATCAACAGCAAGCAAGCAACTGCCTCCAACCAAGGAAAAAGATGGAACTAGGGGAAAATCCAGAAAAAAGACTGATTAAAGAAAATATGTTTAGGAAAAAATAAATCAAATTGCAAACAGAACAGTTTGAGAATAAACTGCAGCAGGAAAACTAACAAAGCTACCTAGCCTATACTAATTTTCACAGGAATAGACAAACTCTTGAGCATGTAATTCTTTTTTTTTTTAAATTAACTCACTTTATTTGGTTTCAAACAGTATAAGTAAAATATATAAAAAAGAGGAAAGGGGAAAAACATAAAACAAAAAACAGACTTTAAAAAAATGAAAATGAAAATAAAATATTCTTTTTTTCTTTATCGATCTGTTTATCATCGGTATATATATATAATTACCCATATATATATTTCAACTTTCTTTATCTCTTTTATGAGTCATTTTACATATTCTATATTTTATGTATTTGCCTGGAGCCACACATAAAATAACTCCTATTTCTCATTTTGTGTTTGTTTTGTGTTTTGTTCTAGAAGTCTGAGAATTTATCTATATCTACTATGCTCATTATTTTTTTCATCAATTCTTCTTTTGTTGGAATCTCAAAGTTTTCCCAATATTTGGCATAGAGAATTCTGGATGCTGTTAGTATCATAATTACTAAATAGCTATTTTCCCTCATCTATAACATCTAGTGTAATACTAAGTAAAAATAATTCTCAAGGCATGTAAATCTCAAGGGTTTATGAATCTGCTAACATTCCAAAACACAAAGCCCATCTTTCCCTTGCTCTGCTCCGCTTATTTACGTTGACCCTCAGTGAAGACACCCATCAGCCAATCCCAACCCAGTTTCCTCAGAACCTTCTAGGACAGTAGTTCCCAACCTTGGGTAACCCAAGTGTTCTTGGACTGCAATTCCCAGAAGTCTTCACCACCAGCTGTGCTGGCTGGAGTTTCTGGGAGTTGCAGTCTAAGAAAACCTGGGCTACCCAATGTTGGGAACCACTGCTCCAGAATGCAAGCAGTCTTGCATGGCTCCAAGAAAGAGAACGGTTGAAGCTAATTAGCCGTTTGGATCTGGTCAAAGTTACCCTGGCCAGTTTCATTTTGAGATATGGCGGGTGCACTCCTCACAGCTGGCACCAATCCCCTCAGCTGTGCCTCCAAACTCAAGAGGGAAAGAGTGTTTTAGACCTTAGTATTTGCATTTCTTCACAGGAACAATTACCTCCCACTCCTTCACTAATGGTTCTTTAACTTATTCTTTAGATGGCAGGGTTGGGACTAACGGGGCTGGTCTTCCTGCTTTAAATCATCTCTCCCTCCCCACCCAGTTCCATGGCCCCCAATGGCGGGAATCTCCCAAAGGCAGGAATCTCCAAGGATTCCTGAAAGCCGAGGAGCTCCAATAAGTTTTTCATTGCCTCGAGATGGCTGCAGCATGGATTGCAGCTGATGATATCATCCTTGCCGCACAGGCCAGGTCCACCAAGAGGATCTCAGCCAGTGGATGACTTCTGTTCTCCTTTTTTTGGAAGGAAAGTGACTCTGAAAAAACCAAGGGCCAAAGGAAATCATTATGTAGGGTGTCGTAGTATGTTAGGCCTTGAGCTTTGCATTACAGAGCATGGTCCTATATTTGAAGGCCTCCTCTGTTCAATTTAAAGATAAAACCCACAGATGCTGGAGACCATGTCTATGTCGCTGTGCCCAGCAGGGAGAGAATGAGAGAGAATGATCAAGATCACTTCTCAAGGTGGAGATCAGGGGTCTTGAACTTGTCCATTCACTTTTGTACCTGGACATCAGGCTCAGAAGCCACAGAAGTCTCTGGCTCAGTCTTCCCCACTATGGTGAGATGAACTCTATAGAGGTGTCCAGAACTGTGTTTATGGATTAAAGCTCCCAGAATTCCTCAAAAGGGACAGCTTTGCACATCTCCAAATTATATCCCCTTCTCTTTTGGCATTCTGTGTTCATTGCACATGCTCTGTCCTCATGAGGCTGTTTTTCGGAACCTCTCCTTAATTTTTCCACAAAGCTGGAGGTGGGGAATCTTCTATACACCCTTGGATTTCCTCAAGTTTCCTCAAGCTTGCAGGAAGGAACTGCTGTTTTGACTCTCTAAAGCTCAGAACTGGAGAAGTGAGTCTTTGTAGGTGCACTTGCTTATACCAGGATGTTTTACTGTTGTCATCATAGTGGCTTCTTTGGGGCCAGAAACTGTGGATTGGGGAGGGTAGTAGAGTAGCCTCCCACAAACATCATGGCCTCCAAAGGTATCAGACTACAACTTCCATGCTCTCACAACAGACTGTGCTGCTTTTAGTCTAACTCACAGATCTGTGGGGGCCAACAGTGATCTGCTGGAGAACACTGCTGTGTAGAATTCTCTGTTAAACAGCATGGTGCTGGCCCTGCCATTAGTCAGAGTGAGGCAACTATCTCAGACACTAGATGCCAGGGGGCTGCTGTGTCATGCCCTTGCCAATGATCATACATAGGTAACAGGGCAGGGAGGTGCTTCCCCATAGTTTGTCTACCAGCTACTCTACTTGCTGCTCCCAGGTGTGGTAGGGACCCTTCCTTATTGCCAAAGCTGAAGCAATTTCCATTAGCAAGTCCAATTGTCTTCTGTGCATTGGCTGGAAGGGACACCATTGTGTTTACCTCAGGTGTCAAAATGTCTCAGGATGGCCTCGATTATTGTTTTTCCTCCAGCTCTGAACTACAGTTTCCCGGACACTCCTTTCCAAGGAAGGAGTGTTGATACATTTTTAAATCTGAAGTGTCAATATGGAAGTAAAGAAAATGCAACTGAAAGAAATAGCAGTCCTCCCTCGTGGGACTAACTCATATATTCAGGTTGGCCAAGTTCAGGGAAAGGTGTTGGAAAGAGTTAACATGTGTAGCTTTGACTCAGAGACAGGTGACTCCCAAGTTAATTGCTCAGCCAGAACAGACCCAAGGTTGGAAGGTGGGGCTTTTGTCAGCTGGGGTCCAGCACTTAGATACAGAGGAGTTCAGGGGGAAGTCAAGGTCTGAGTGGTTTGTTTTCTTTCCCCCCCTGACATTTCCAACTCTAGGAAAGGAAAACGTAGGTTTTGGGCTGCCTGCATCGCGAAAACATCTGTTGGGGCTTACACCTGCTAGCAAAGGTTCACACATTCAATAACTAGTTTGGTCTCTTTTTGTATTTCTTTTTAACCAGTACTTTTAATCACTCCCTGTCTCAGATATTTACTCAGCTGGGTAGGCCGCTGGACTTTGAATGCTGTTTGACAGTAAAGAGGATTCTTTTACATGAGTGAAATCATTTCTCCCGTGTTGCTTTTGTATGTGAATTATGACAGGACTTCTCTAGAGACCACTAAAAGGTAAGTGAAGAAATGAAAGCCTCACCATGAGCTTTGTTTACATTATGGGGCTTTGCTAAGGAGATGAATTTGGGGGGAAATATAGGGGTGAGTGGGGTTTCTCATTTTTGTTTCTTGTTTTTCAGTCATGTGTTATTGAGACAGTTGTGCCCGTAGGGTCCAAACAGGATAACTTCCAAGTTTTTCAGAGGTTAGTGTCAAGTGTGTAAGAGGTAGGGATGGCAAAATCTGTCAGGTTCACTTTCTCCTGCTTTCCATTCCCCAGTCCTCAAGTTTTTTCCATTCCTGAAAATGAAGACAATCATGAATGTTGATTTAAGTGTTTCTGCCAGTTAAGCATGGCGGCTAGGTGTGCCACCTGGTTTCAGTTTGGAATAAAGATTGTGTAATGGCAGCTGACATCACAAAAGAGCGGATGGTTCTTCAGAGTGCAGAAATGGAGTAATTTCTCTTTGAGGGGGCAGGAAAGTATGTGGGTGAAGGGAGAGAAGTGCTACCAGAAGAGACGAAGTGGGTTTTTAAACAAAGGCAATCCTCTTCTCGGGCTTTCAGGTGGTACCTTTTCTGCTGCAACCCATGAAGGGAAACAAACAGATTTCCACAATTTGGGGATATTTTAATATACAGTCACTATAGAAAGCAAGAAGATTCTGGTTGAGGTTCTAGTCCATGACTAGCTTTTAATTTGAGGCTTTTCTCTGTCTGACTACATGTGTTTGCTGTCCTGTGGCCCCTTTAAGATGTTTCTTTGCTCTCTATCAGGTGTTCACAACTTCTAGTCTTCCCAATTTGTTGGATTACAACTCTTGTCAAGCTTCACCATTGTTTTTCTTGGATAGATCTAATGGGAGGTGTAATCCTGAAATGTCTGAAGGACCACAAGTGGTCTATTTGTGCTCTCTAGCATCCTTAAATTCTTTTCAGATAATCTCTGCTGCTCCAAGTGAGACCCGTGACAAAATCTTGCACTGTGGAGTGCTGTTTGTTCAGGATTCCAGCCACACACTTCCATTTAGTGAGTCCCCTTCCCCCTTTCATGAAGTCATCAACATCCTGTGCCCATTTAATATAGCAAGACTTCTTATGGCTCTTCCGGAGTTTCCCCACTTCAAGAGTTTTTGTCCTGATGGTTGTTGTGGGTTTTTTGGGCTCATTGACTGTGTTCTGAAGGTTGTTCTTCCTGACGTTTCGCCAGTCTCTGTGGCTGGCATCTTCAGAGGACCGGAGTAGGAACTCTGTTCATGCTCTGTTGCTGTTTGTTGGATAGTTGAGTATTTAGAACTGTGGGAACACCTTTTGTCTTTTCAGGAGATAGGGTGATGATGGCGATCAGCCTGTTTTTGTTGTGGATGTATTGTGATAAGGGGGGAGAGATTATCTGTCACTGTGATTGATGGGTGTCTTTAGCTGGTCTTTTTTGTGCAATGATCCCTGGTCCTTGTGGCTGGGTTTTTGTCCTATTTGGTTTTTGTTTGTTTTTTCGTATTCTGCAGACTCTGGAAAATTCCTATTAATAGCTCCCTGTTATGTATGAGTGGACCCATTCCGGCTGCGCACACAATGAAATGCTGAATCTTAACTGGGAAATGGAGGGAATGAGAGAGAAAGAGAGAGCGAGAGACCTATATTCATATATTGTCTGAAGAAAAATCTTGTTCAGTATTCATTCTTAGTTTTCTTGTTGTTGAGAGGAAAGTAGGGAATGAGGTAGTTTACAAAGGGGGGCTGCTTCCAATGTTTGAGAAGCACTGCGGAAAGTAAGAATTTCATAGAAACAGAAACTGCTTGAGAAAGAGGCAAAGTCTACACACATTTGCAACAGATTAAAGGTCTTAATCCAAAGCTGGATAGCTCATTTTCCTAAAATAGGTGTAATTTCCTGGGTGTCCTGTATTTATTAGAACTTTGTAGTATGGTATAGCTCACTGGGTTAGAACACCAGGGACTAGGAGCTCAAAACCCCACTGTGTCTCTTTGGAGAGGGGCCAGGTGGAATTGCCCAGACTACATGTTGGTGGTGGGGGCCTCATGGTTGCAGAGTTCTACCAGATGGAGAGAATTGGTAAACCATTTTTGAATATGCTATCTGGGAGGCGTCGGGCCCCTCTGTCCACCCACCCCCCTTCCTGCGGGGGATCCCCAGCCTGGGGTCTTGCCANCTCCATATTACTTTACCCAGGCTTCATGCTCTGGAGAGGACACTCCTCAATTCAGAGCATGTTACCATAGTCTCTCAAGACTGAAATATGCCTATGCTATATCTAGAAGATCCTAGGAGGGTTGCCTTAAATTGGCATTGGCTTGAGGACAAATTACTGTTGTTATAAATATGTACATAATGAGAACTTTTAAAAATGCAATTAAAAAGCAATTGATGTTTGCTCAGTGTCCTATCAAATCCCTAGGTTGAATCCAGATGAAGTCATACTTGAAGCAGGCCCATAAAAATAAACGAGACTACAGTTAGTCATGATTGGCTTATGTCCTATTGATGTCAACAGATCTTTTCCAAAATTGACTCTGTCTTCTACTGATCCCTGGTGTCATGAATCTGATTGCTTGGTTTTGGCTGTACCAAATCCTATTGTTCCACCTGGCACTGCCTTGATGAAATTGGACTTGTAATGAAGGGGATATGTCCCAGTTCTCATCCTCCTGCCTGGAGTCCAATTAATTTTCATCTTAAATAAGAAAGAAACAAAAAACACACTCAATCATTTCTGTGGTATTTTCTGACCCCATGAGAATTCGAGTGTATTAAATGTTATCAAGAGGGTTCAGGTTGGGGCTAATGTTACAGATTAATCTATACATCTTGCATTTTCTGAACCCAATAGGAATTCTAGTGTCTTCCCTGAATGGGGGCAGTCTTCTGACAATCATAGCTTGTCATATCTGCTTCTTGTAATCATGTTTCACTGAAAAATGGCATGGAGCATTTTTTTTAAAAATTCAGTACGTTTCATTGGCTACAACAGTGAAAAGTAGCCCAAAGGCAAAAAGCAATAGATTTGTTAGAACAATTTCTGTCTGCTAAAAAGAAGAAGAAAAGAACTATAGGGCAAGTGGCTGAAACTTGCAGGCAGTGTTTGCAGCTCTTCAGGAGATAATGTCATAAAATACCTTCCTATTTCTGCATGAATTCTGCAACACAGTGTGATACTGGGAAACTCCATAGTTAGCCTGCAAAAATGTTGTTATTCTGTGTCTTCTGATCTATGCACTGCTTCTTTCCCAAGATATTCCCTCACCTAAACTGGAGGGGGAGACCCATTCTTTCTGGACTCCAAAAAGCAGCAAGAGATTGAAGAAACAATAATCTGACATCTTAGAGATCTCTCAGTTGTGATGGCCTCTCAGTGAACAAGTTATGACCTTCCAGATCAATGGTTCCCAACCTTGGGTCCCCACATGTTCTTGGACCAAAACTCATAGAAGCATTCTCCAACAGCTGTGCTGGACAGGATTTCTAGAAGTTTTAATCCAAGAACATCTGGGGACCCAAGGTTGGAAAGCACTGCTCCAGATGTTGCTGAATTGTCCTAGTTCCAAACATACTAGTTGAAGATAATTAGTGGGGGTAGAATGGGAAGGTAAAGTCATCAGTGGCCTTCCAGTACTTTAGAACAGTGGTGGACAACAGTTGTCCTCCAACACATGCAACTTCTATCTTCCTTCATCACTGACAAGGCTGACTAGGACCGATGGGAGCTGCAAAGCAACAACATCTGGAGGACCATAAGTTGTTCATCCCCAGAGGAGAGAGTACGGGTTGAGATGAAGAAAGAGTATAAATGGGTGTGTAAGACAGTTGTCTAAGTAAGAGAATTGCTTAGTTAGAGGAGAATCCATGTCTAATTTGTCACTTCAGGATGACTCATTGTTTCCTGGGTTCTCCTCCGCCAAACACTTTCTGAAGTTCAAGAAATCTTCCAAAGATGACTGGGGCTAGAATGGACATCTGACCATCGCTCTATGTCCGTGGTCATGCTCTTGGACTCCATTGTCAGAGTAGAGTTTGTCTGGTATTGGTTGGATGAAAAAGGAAAGTGGATTGAATATGGCAAAAAGGTAAGCGATCCTTGCTGTTATTCAATCATCAGCTGTGAGCGGTCAAAACCACAATACAATCAACAAAAGCTGAACTACCTGATGCATTATATAAACAGCACACAGCTAAATTTGTCTTTGTTTGTGTCTTCAAAGTAAGCATATGTAGGTCTGATCTAGGCAAGAGAAGTTCAATTCCCCCCCCCCATGTCCATTACCCCCAACCCATGAAATTCATCTTGCCATGGGAAGACCAAAAAGCAGGGGGGATGTTCTTTGCTATCAGGTTGGTTGAATTGTTTTTGCCTTATGCATTGGAGGAAGGGTTTAAGTGGGAAAAGGAAGGTTTAAACTTTTTCTATCCATGTGTGGAGGGCTTGATGGGTGTAGTCATAGATAGTTTTTAGAGATGGACATGACTTAAGTTGTGCCACATTCATAGATAGTTTTTAGAGATGGACATGACTCAAGAGATGGACACGACCTGCATTGCATGGCACCACAGCTGGTGTGCATTCCCTCTGCCAACCCTTGACTGGCTGCCCAACTCACAAGCCTTTGTGCACCATCCAGGTCAACTTCCTTCACCAGCTGCCCATTGTAGGCAGCAGCCTAAGCTTCCCCTCCTCACTTCTTCTGGCAGCTGACCACTGAATGGCTGCACAGGGTGAATCCCTGCCCTGCCTCCACATCTGAGTGGTTGGCTGCTGGAGGAGGTGGGAAAGGGCAGCCCAAGCTCCTGCCTGGACTGAGCAGTGGAGAAGGAGGACAACCTGGGTGGTGTTCAGAGGCTTGTGAGTAGGATAGCCAGCTTGGGGGGGGAGGGAATGTGCAGCAGCTGTGGTCGTACAATGCAGCATGACTTACCGGTAAGTCATGCCCATCTCTAGTAGCGTTATTCTACAACAGGAGATGTTTAAGAGTCTTTTCCCATTTGTTTTCTATCTTTTCAAGTGTAAGCATATGAGCAGAGCTAAATGTGCCCTGGTCCTTGTTTCCAGTTTTGTTTTCTATCTTTTCAAGTGTAAGCATGTGAGCAGGGCTAAATCTGCCCTGGTCCTTGTTTCCAGTCCCCCGGTAATCCTTGCTCTCCTCCTCTGAATTTGTTAGCCACAAGTTTTGTTAATCACAAAACAAATGCTAAATGCAAGATATGCAAGTGGTGAAAAACGTGTTGTGAGAAACAGACAAAAACAAAAGGGGAGGCAATGCATTTTGTCTAGTTTGACCCCCTTTTAAAAATAAAACTTACGTAAGCCTGTTGCCTGCCTCCAGGACCTGCTCCCTTTACTATCCTGTCCTTTGTGAGAAGCAGAGCAAAGGACAAGCCCAAAGCCACCTTTGATTCAGGTGGGCAGGCAGCATTCTTGTTAGCAAAAGCTTCTAAACAAGCTGCAGTACTCAGAACTACAGTGGTGCCTCGCATAGCGAGGTTAATCCATTCCGGATTAACCTTCGCTATGTGAAAAGCTCTAAACAAGCTGCAGTACTCAGAACTACATGGGGCTCGTCAGCTAGGAAGGTAAAACACTGACCTGCTGAGGGAGAGAAAGGTGGAGAAAGGAAGGGAAGATGAGAAAGGTGGAAAGGCTGGTAGGCCAGCCCACTTGCAAACAGAGATGGAACAGACAGAAGAGCAGAGCTACATTGATAGATTTTGTCGCTTACCGAGGGCATGAAAACACTGCGCGCGGCCATTTCGGCTGTTCCAGCGGCCATTTTGGACCCGCCAAACAGCTGATCCGCGGGTCGCAAAGCGAAGTTTGGTCATCAGCTAGGAAGGTCAAACACTGAGCTGCTGAGGGAGAGGAAGGTGGAGAAAGGAAGGGAAGATGGGAAAGGTGGAAAGGCTGGTAGGCCAGCCCACTTGCAAAGAGAGATGGAACAGACTAAAAGAAAATAGAGAAGAACAGAGCTACATTGATAGATTTTGACTGTTGTAAAAACTATGATTCTAGAAGAAATTAAAAGACATGGGTAGCTGTTCTGAAACTCTGCAGAAGCCAAAGTACCACACACACCCCCTTTTATTGTTGTCCTCCCTCCCCATGGCATTTCTGCAGAACTCACAGCATGTTGCTGCTATGATATCCTCCTCAGAGTTGGAGGCTGCTTTCCTGGCTGACCAAAAAGGCATCGTATTCTTCCACGCTGGCACTCAGCTGTATGAACTAAACTTCCAAGGTAATTTTTGTTATTCCTCCAAAGGGATTGACAATAAAGAACAACTCTTCATCAACAATCTGCCTGCCACCCACATCAGGAAGCAAAAAGTGATACAAAATAGGCCAATGGGAAGCTTTTACTTTAAAGACTAGAGTAGCCCTGGAAGACTTCAATCATTCCCAGGCTTTTACATGCTTCAGAAACTAGCCTTAAATCCAACAGCAGCATTAAAATGCCTCAAATCATATCTTGAGGAGAACGGCACAAAAAAACAATGACTGGGGAGTGTCATTTACAACTCTCTGTGTAAAAGGTAATCCATGAAAACCAGTTTTGTAGTTATTTTCTTACCCACTATGGAAACCAGCTTTGTCAAGAGTAAATATTTGGCCCTTATTTCCTTCGTTTGAGAACAAGCTAGTGGGCAAAATGAAAACTATGGGTTTTTAAAAGGAGGCCTTGAGCCTATGTAGATCTGTATGGTGTGAGGGATGGAGCCATCAGATTTCTCAGTACAGTGGAACTCCATCATCTGCAGGATCAGTATCCACTGGTTCGCTTATCTACTGTCTGAAAAAATTAAAAATATTAAAAGAAAAATGCTAGAAACATATATATTTCTAAAGATGAAGTTAGTAGAACTGGCCACTAGAAGGTACCACTAACCAAGCTATGTATAGCATTCGCTATTAAACTACTATTTACTTTTATGTATTGGTGACACATTTGGCATATCTCAGATATTTCTGATGCTTGCTTCTATGGCTATTTTACAAGTATATGAATAAAATTAGGAGAACTGTTCTATTAAAAGCAGAACAGACTGCATGAACACTCTGTAATTTTCCGTGGTGTTCTGTATCTGAATTTCCAGCATCCCCAGAGCCAGGATAATAACTGGTCAATAGGCTGTGTGATTGTTGGAGTTAAAAATGTTCAAAAAAGCAATTGCTCCATGCTCTGCTCTGTGTCTACATTGAGGTGATGCCTAATTTGTTGCCAACTGATGTTGATGAACCATTTAACCCTGAGTGTTGCTGTTTTCCTCTAGAGATGGTTCAGAGGAATGTCTACTACCAGACGAAAAGAAGAGTCTGCAGGTGGCCCAGACTTGTGTTCTTTGGAGGTAGCCAGCAAAATGACAAGTGGTATTGGACATTTTTTCTGCTCTAAATGTTCTTGTGCTGTTCGGACCCTGGTTTGGTTATCTGCAGTATTATTGTGGATAGGTGGCCATTGAGTGGTCAGCTGCTGGAGGAGGTGTGGGTATCTATATGTAGGCATATAGATATCTTCTTTAATTTTGTTATTTTTGTACTTGGTTTTATTTTTTGTTTTAAGGAGCCTTGAGTACCCTATACTGAAACCAAAAGGTGGAAAGAATTCGTGTTAAAGTGAACAGAGGAACCCAAACCAAATCCATGTATGCACATGATGTATGGAAAAGAAATGGACCATTTTGCTACTATTCAGGGAAACTATATTGTTTCCATAGCAAGCCTGAATGCAGAGGCTGCATTGGCACAGGCACACAGCACTGGCCATGCTGATGAGTGGATGGTGGGATCTGTAGTATAAAAGGAGAAATTTCAAATATTGCATTTGTAGGGATATTCCAGTCCCTTCTTTGAGCTAGTATGTCTGGAGGCATCTTTTTATATTCCAAATCTTAAGATAGTTGTATTTTTCAAAGTTTTCCTCTTGTACAAGGATTCAGGGCTCAGAGAAGGTTCTGGAGACAAGATCTACAAGGCTCTAAAACAAAATACAGGGAAAGGTACAAACAGAGAGTAGCACTGCAAGGATGCAGACAAATTAGAACAGGTTCAGAGGAGAGCAACAAGGATGATCAGGGGACTGGAAACCAAGCCCTATAAGGAAATACTAAAAGAACTTCACATGTTTAGCCTTGAGAAATGAAAACTGAGGTGAGATATGATAACACTTTTCAAATATTTGAAAGGCTGTCATACAGAGGAAGGGCAAGATCTGTTCTTGATCATCCCAGAGTGCAGGACATGCAACAATGGGTTCATGTTACAGGAAGTCAGATTTTGGTTGAATATCAGAAAAAACTTCCTAACTGTTAGAGCAGTACATCAATGGAACCAATTACCTCGAGAGGTGGTGAGTGCTCCAACACTGGAGGCCTTCGAGAGAAATTTAGACAACCACCTGACAAATATCCTTTGATTTGTATTCCTGCACTGAGTAGGGCATTGGACTGAAGGGCCTTATAGGCCCCTTCCAACATCGTAATTCTATGATTCTAGGATTTGCCTTCCTGTGCACATGTGTTGACATTTATCACATGTGTTGACATAAATCAAAGCGATAAGAGTTTAATTCTTGTTCCAAGGGAAGGAGAAGCTCCCGTCTTGCCAACTGCTCTGTTTGTCAACTTAAACCTCAACCACAGCTCCTTGTTGAGGATTTCCTTGGCCCCCGATCAGAACCAAATAGAACATAAGGTTTCCACTTGCATTGGAGAAACATTGTCCTGCCCCTTCCTCTCTTACACCTACCTGAAATACAGAAGAAACAAAACACAGGTTCAGCACTGGACTGTGGAGATTAAGGTGCTCACCCATGCCATTTAAATCTGAGAACCATACAGTGTATTAGAGATAACCCATCATTAGAAGGTGGAGTTTTTCAAGTGCTGATTGTGAATGATTGTTATGGTAGGAGGCTTTCTCATCTCCATTATTTTCCAAATTATCTTTGTTTTCTAATTAGAGGAGATATCATAATAATTTTCTTCTTCAAATCTGATTTTTCAGACAGAAAAAATGTATCGTGCAGACTAAGATGATTTCCAGTCTAAGTTTCTAGTATTATTTAAAATATTTTAACCTGCCTTTCTCCTTAAAAAAAGGCTTACAACAATTAGCATCTCAGAGTGATCTTTGAGATGACTTGATAGGATGGAAAGAACTAACATATATGATAGAATTAAATGTTACCTTTTACATAAGCAGCTTGTGGTCTAAAACTCTGGGGTGAGGTACCTTTATCCTCTTAGACCACAGGCTGCTCCAGCTTCTTCACAACCTTCAAATCTGATTTTTCAGACAGAAAAAAATGTATCGTGCAGACTAACATGATTTCCAGTCTAAGTTTCTAATATTATTTAAAATATTTTAAAACTGCCTTTCTCCTTTAAAAAAGGCTTACAACAATTAGCATCTTAGAGTGATCTTTGAGATGACTTGAAAGGATGGAAAGAATTAACAGATATGATAGAATTGAATGGTTACCTTTTACATAAGCAGCTCGTGGTCTAAAACTCTGGGGTGAGGTACCCTTATCCTCTTAGACCACAGGCTCCCCAGCTTCTTCACAAGCTTGATTGGAATCAACATATTCTTTAGTAAACTTCAGGTGTTTTGAGAATAAGCTTTGTACGTATGAGCCACTGGGTTACTGTGGTTTTTGTCTTCTGTTTTCAGCAGACCCTTTGAATCTTCTTTCCCCTTCCATGAGTTTCCTTCAAACTGGGACCAAACAGCATTGCCTGATATAGGCTATAAGGTATTTGGTGTTCCCTTTCAGCTTAACATGTGCAAAGGAGCTGCTTCCCCTGGCAACTCAAATTCATGTTCCCAAACACAAGCGGAAAGGTTGCCATTCAACTACTGGTGCAGGCAGAGGAGCAGGAACCTGGTAGTGAGAACCAAAGGGTTTCCATTGATGGGAGATGGCTTCAGCGCAGGTGGAGGAAATCCCGCTGGGAGTCCGATTGAACACTACTTAGAGCCCATTATCGGGCCTATTTCGTGGCAATACGGCTGGCGAAATGGCAATATAACCCCTCCATAGTAGTGAGCACCATTCTCAATCAGCATGCAGAATTGAATTTCCTACAGTAGTGCCACTAGACCTGGACACACTCATTAGTTGCCTGGACAGGCCCGATTCTGGGTTCCTGGGTGTGTTGGAATACGTAGTATCTGGCTGTGGAGCTAGAGATTGGTAGTCAATTCTCCACTGTGCCTCCTGTGAGTAGAACCAGCCTGTGTAGCCTTGGGCAAGCTCAACAGTCCCAGGGTGCCTCCAGAAGAAAGGAATGGCAAACCACTTCTGATTATTCTCTACCTGGAAAACCCTGAAGGAGGTTGCTATAAGTCAGAATTGATTTGACAGCACATGATGATGATAATGATATGCTGCCTGGTTGCTTCCAGCTAAAAGCAGGCATGGATGAGGGTTCAAGGCATTTGAAATGTTCAAGGAGTGCTTTGTCATTGCTACCACCCATGAGCTTCCTTGGCATGGTAGGGGTTTGAATCGAGGTCTCCTGAATCCTAGTCTAACACTCTATCCACTACACTACACTGGCTGTCTGTGCAGGAATGACCACTCTATCCACTACACCACACTGGCTGTCTGTGCAGGAATGATGTTTTGGCAGTCCCCAATGTGCAGGGAAATGTAAAGTAAATAACACAAGAATAAACCCATTGAATCAATAGGGATTTGGTGAATCAACTCCTCCATAAACTATTGAATCAATTTATTGAAATGGTCCTACTCTAACTGCAACTTACAATGCTAATTGATTCCATGGGCCTACTTTAGAGTAATTTACTCTACTAAGCAACAGGATTTGGCCCATTCTGTTATGCTGCTGACTTGTCCTTTTAAAAAAAACACCCTATTCTCTTCCTGGTTTGTTTTGTTTTATATGGATTTCATTGTAATTCCACTTCCAATTCTGTTTTAGTCAGAAAAGTGGCATATCAATGAAAGAAAATAAAAGATAACCATAGACTGAAAACCAAGCATTCACAACAGCTCTTGATTCATGTCTAGTTGGTGAAGGTCTCAGAGTCTGCTGAGGATCATCATGAAATCAAGGAGGTATTTGAGTTGACGATGGAAGGTTATGTGATCAGTACTATCCAAAGGATTCAGAACCCATCTCTCTGGCAAGTTTTTCAATGGTTTGTGTTTGGTTTTTAACTTTCTCTCTTGGGGATGGGAAGAGTGGTATTAGAATTGAGTCCTGTTAGAAGCGCCTGGAGCACATGCACTCTCTCTCATTTTCTCCACTTTTGACTGCTATTGAAGTTGGGAATTAGTGAAATAACTGGACCAGATTTTCAAGGCTGAAGACCCAGGACTCTTTCATTGACGGGGATGATGACATCCCCTGCCACCCACCCAGCCTTCCCCCTGAGCTTACCTGCAATTTTCACAGTAAAGAAAAAGGAAGATGGATTATCTTAGTACCTATGTCCTGTTGTGAAGGAAGTATCCTTGCTGTAATGCAAAGTATTTAGAGAATAGCTGTATCTTGAAAGAGCAAACTATATGTTACCCATCAGTAGAAGAGGGAGTTGCATAAGTAAGTGTAAATTATATGTGGCTATCATAGCAGGTGGTTTTCTCACCTCCTGTCATTTCAAATTAGCTTGCTTAGTTTTTAGTTCTACAAATAATGTAAAAGCTTGTACATAAGTCAAAGGGTAAGGTGGGTCATACCTTTATTAAAAAAATTACAAACAGAAGCTAGCTTTTGATCCATACAGATCTTCATCAGGCGATGTGTGGTGCAGAAGAAATATAAAAATTCTAAAAATCTTCGTCGCACATCCAGGTCAGAATTCTCTGCCTGCCCTAGAGCATGTTTTTAAAGTGGAGACTGTAGCCTCAGCTCAAAAGGTGATGATTTCTGATTGCTCGTCTAGTGGTGTGAATTGGAACGCTTGGGAGAGACGAATGGCCAAAAATGTTGGGGCTTTCTTCCTGCACCATGAGTAGCTCTGTGGTGTCCAGCCTGAGGAACATCTGTATGGATTGGAAACTAGCTTCTTTTGTAATTTTTAGTGGTCTAATAAACAGACCACCCATCCTCATTTCTTCTTAGTTTTGTGACTAGTCTTCAAGCCATAAACATGCTGTTCCCTTACCGGTTGGATTTCACAGACACAAATGACCATCTCAGTCTCATCTCTCAAGTCTTCCAGACCAAAAGCTTTCTGAACTCCATGTGTAATGGGTTGAGCATGAGACCCTATGCATGCAAAGCTGTGGCCCTAGTAGATTTTGGCCCAAACTAGAAAAAGTTGTATGGATCCTTGCCTTGAGCAGAGGGTTGGACTTGATGTATTCATAGGCTCTTTCCAACTCAGTTAGTCTATGATTCTATGAAAGCAGGCCACCAGGTGTCTAAGTAGACTATGTCCTGGATCCTTGTCCAAAAGCTGGAAAAGGATGGTGAAGTAAATTATCTCACTTTCATTGAGTCTGAACTTCTATTTTTATGGTGTTGCTTCTGTTTATAGGCAGAGAGACCAGATGAAAAAGTTGAATGGAGGGAAAGAGGTGGCTGAAAGGCTCTTGTTCCATGGCACAAGCACATCCCATCTGCATGAGATCTGTGAGCAGAACTTTGATTGGCGAATCTGCGGAACTCATGGAACGCTATATGGTAAAGGTATGGGGATGTGTGTGTGCACAAGTGGTGTACAAGTTGTGATGCACTCTTTATCTTCTACAGTGGGCATGACAGCACTAAGTCACTCCCGCATGCTGCAAAAAACACAAATATTTTGGGTTTCAAATAACTTAAGCACAATCTTGTACAAAACTGTTCATGTTGCTTGTGTGTTCCTAACCCAAAAAGAGGTCCCCATTGGGATTTAATCTTGTAAACACCAATCAAGCCCCAGAAGAAACTTTCTTACCAAACTCTGGCAATGAAACTGACCTTTCAAAATGGGCAAAGGAGTGAGTGAGCAGAAGTGTTGTGTGCTCACAAATGTTTTCTGACTCATGGCATCCCTAACTGGGGTTTCAGTTGGATATGAGAGATGTTAAAGGTATTCCTGTGAGATGTTTATCATTCCCCCCCACACACACACATCTCATGGTGCCTTGTGGTGCAGTGGTTAAACTGATGTACTGCAGACAAAACTCTGTTCATGACCTTGGTTCATTCCCAGGTAACCGGCTCAAGGTTCACTCAGTCTTCCATCCTTCTGAGGTCAGTAAATTGAGTGCCCAGCTTGCTTGGGAGAGGGAGGGCAATACGTAACCTGCATAATTAAATTGTAAACTGCTCAGAGAATGCTTTAAGAGCTATAGGGGAGGTATATAAAGAGCACACTTTGCTTTGGCTTTGAGCTTCCACAGCGAAGCAGAGATTTGAAACCCTGTGTCCTGGTCGAACTCTCTGTCCCAATGTGACATGCTGGCTCGACATATGAAAGGAACAAATAAGGTATAGGCCAAATTCATATTAGCTGTCTTAATCCCCCTCCCTTCATTATTTCAAAGGTCTTACTAACCTCTTTTCTTTTAGGAAGCTATTTTGCAAGGGACGCCAGTTACTCCCATGCATATTGCCACTCGAACACCCGCACCAAGACCATGATTGTAGCTCGAGTTTTGGTTGGAGATTACGTTCCAGGAAAAGCTACTTACCTTCGACCTCCTTGTAGACCTAACCAGGGAAACCGCTTTTATGACAGCTGTGTGGACAATACTCCGAACCCTTCCATTTTCGTCATCTTTGAGAAACATCAGATTTACCCAGCATATATAATTGAATATGAACCTGTGTCCTATTGCGTGATCATGTGAAGGCAACAATCTTCCCTGGTTTTTTTTTTTCATATCTTTTTAAAATGATACTTGAAATATTTGTTATTTAAAAGACTGCTGTGACTGTTTTTATACATTTGGAACTTATAGACATGAAATACTACAGAGTGGACAGCCCAAATCCTTACTGAATAGCAGTTATTGTTTTATCATCAATGGTGAGCTGAAATTCACTGCATTCCCCCCTCCCCCCAAAATAAACTTTACAATAAATACCTCGTTTAGCTTTCATTATTCAGTCGTATACATGAAATCTTGAGCAATGTCTGTGAATGTGCATGCTTGCGTTGGAGCAGTTTTCTGATGGAATATATAGTCATCATGACTAACAGCCATTGATAGACTTATTCTCCATCAGCTTCTATAGTTCCCCCTGAAGAGCCAATCAGGCTGGGTTAGCGTTGGAATTCAGTTGCTTGCAGTATTCTTAACTATAAGATCAGCTGTTGGCTGCATAGTTGCACGTACAGTATAACGGGTTACTCAATGGTAGGCAAATGGATATAGTTAATGATGAACATAAGAATTGGCATAGAACAGTGCAAGGCTGACCAGCTTCCAGGTGTTTGAAGCCCACAATGGAATCTCCCACCACATGAAACTTGGTAGCTACTGCCAAGATTTTCGCCACTGTAACTGCCACAATTTGGCAGCGACGGCGGGAGCTGTCTATGGTGCTGAAAAGTGCCATTGCCAGTTAATTCCTCGGATTTTGTAGCAACTGCAGAGTTGTCTATGATGCTGGAGGGTGCCAGTGAGCCCACCTGTACCTTAGAGCCCTGTAGACGAGCAGGCCAGAGGGTATCCTACCCTTCCCATAAGGCAAGAAGGAAGTGTTCTTTTTTTTGGTGGCATGACAGGAAGAGCAAATTGGGATTGGTAGGAGCTACAAAACCTGGGTGCACATTACCCACCCTCTCATAGTGCCAAAATATGTAATCTGAATGAATAGGAAAGAGTCCCCTTGCTACTGCACAGTGAGTGTTCATCTGGCCAGAATCTGAATGGGAGACTTCCTCAGCATAGTGGGGAGGGGGGAAAACATTTTTAAAAAAACTTTCAGATTCTGAAAGCCATAGTTCAAGGGGGGGAGGGGGGAGAAACTCTTCCTCATCACTACAACTGGGAAATTTATATGTGCTGCCTTTAATCAATGGCTAGAAAGGCAATCTACCAAGACTAAATTAAATCTGATATTAAAAACTCACTAAATATTCAAGCTCCTACTATATCAGCCCCAACCGCCCTTCTGAAATACAGGGGGAAATAGTGTAATGGTCAAATTTTAAGCGCAGATGTCCATTTTGGCAACCCCTGTAGATGTGGTTCCAGGGAAGGTCTGTGGCTGTTTTGATCTGCATCAACAAACCCATTTGGGCAGTTTTCATCTGCACTAGAAGCAGGTGCTTTATGCAGCTTTAGATTTTTAATTAGCTATTCAAGGACAAATCACCCACACTGACTTGCACTCGACCTGCTATGAGGGTTGCCCCTAAACTCACAGGAGGACAGGGAAGCTCGAAGCTAGTGGCAAATGGACTTTACCATCCCTGCTTAAATAAGAGTTATGGGGCTTTGTCCTGAAAGACTTGGGCCCAGTATGCCGCTGTGAATAATCATACTGGCCTATCCTATCAGCTGTCTGTTGGATCACAGGATGTATATTCTCAGTCCAGAAGGAATCGTGCCGAAGTCCACTGGTCTAAACAAAGGGAACGTGTGTGACTCATTTTCTCTTGGTTGGCTCCAGCATATCTGTCAAAAGCAGTCTTTACAACAGTTGAAACATGTCATGTAAGTGTTTAAGTAGTTTTAAAACGTAATTTATGTTACTAAGCTAGCATAGCTATTGAAGGAGTTATTTGGAGCATGTACGTGCTGGCCCGTGATGTCTTGGACGAAGTCACCAAAACAATAGCAATTTCCAATTCTATAAATTGCAACACTGACAACACATAATTGGTCTAGACTTTTTCATGTTTCTAAAATATTATCAAGCTTTACCAAATTATGTCCAGGATATTTTTGGAATTGAGGGAAGTTAACAGACTTCATTCAGTTTGTGCACTTCTAGAAAGACATTTTTTTTCCAAATAAAAGTATCCAAGCACATCTTTATTTTTTTAAAGTACAACACTAATTTTAAGCAGTTCACTGTGCTATGCCACAATTAACACATGCACGTATTCCCCTGCCTGCCCTTGTAGTTAATGGCTAAGATGCAAACAATGAGTATTTCTACCTTGCTTTGAAAATGTTCCTTTAAGTGAAGCTCCAGCAATATCTTTGCAAGGCTGGTCGAATGGAAGACAAAACCAAGGCCTCTGAGTAGAACCGATGCCCTTTTTGTATTGATAAATATGGAATAGGCCGCAAGACTTGTGAACTGTTCTGCATGTCATCAAGAGCCATTAAATGTAGGTCTACTGGAAAGAGCATTGCAGACAACTGCAGCTGTCTCTTGTACCACTCTATCAGGTCAACGTTTTGACATCTGTTTCACTCACCTATTTTTCAGCTATACAGAGTATGAAATTGGTCCTCAAAAAGGATCTGAGTTTTTCACTTCAAGGGGCCAGCCCCGTGATCTATTTACAGCACTGTTTTGAAATGTGCTTTGAAAAGTTTGCAGCATTGTAATCTGTGCTTCTGTTGTGTATTTTCTATGGCTACCTGACATGTAGCTTATTATTTGAGTTTTCCTTGGTGCCAGCGACAACATTTAAAACATGAATTAATCTATAAACGGTACAGCAACAGGCATTGCAAATGCATTGGGAGCAGAAGGCACTGTTGGAGTTTTGATAGCACTGACCAGAATGTGCATCAACTGGAATCTGGGCCATTTAATTTATTAATTTATTAATTCATTTATTTTGGGACCACCATTCCTAAAATCACTGGCCAGGCTGACTGGGGAGATGGTAGGGGTGATAGTCCAGAAAAGTAGCATTTCCAAACTCTTACAAAAATCTGTCAGGGTTTGAATGTAAAAGTGTCAAAGCAAACCAGCTTGTTGGAGGCTTAGACTGTGGTCCTGGGAAATATGCAGCAGCCATTAATTAATTTCTTCAATTTATACACTGCCCATCTGGCCTGCAGCCACATTAAGTCTAGCTATGTTTGCCATAGCTGGCTTTACTGGTCATCTCTCTTAGAAGAATGAATGGCTGACAAGCTATCTGCACTTGGCTTCCTTTTGGCTTAAACATTTGTGATCCAATTTTAGTTTCCATTCAGATTTTGCCTCTTGCACCTCACTGTAAGTTTGCATCTGAACGCCTGTATTTCTGAATGCCAACAGCTAGAAGGTCATTGTACTGAAGTGAATCCCAGGCAAACGGAAAATTCTTCCCAGACCACCCTATAATTTCCAACAGTGGTTTCAGCATTTGAAAAAAACATGAAATAAAATCCAGGCTTCTAAAAGGAAACTAACATCTTCCATTGCTTTAAATGGGACTTAGTCACAGCCAACTTTGGCTGGATGGTGCTGAAACAGAATTCAAGAATTCACTGTTCTCTGAATGTATTTGGAGTTTGAATGTTAAAAGCTAAACAGCAGGGCTTTTTGTAATATCAAGAGGGCATGACATACCAAGTCCCTTTGATTTTAGTGGACCTGGATTAAAACCTATGCCCAAGTTAAAAAGGAATGCATAGAATCCATACACCTGGGTGTGGGATTATGAGTGGTACTTTCTACAAGAGGAGTAGGTAAAGTATAGACCTCTGGAATTTGCTGGACTGCAACACCCAGCAGTCCTCACTAGCACCACCGATGGTAAGGAATGTGTTTGAGATGGACACCTGAATAGGGCCAAGGTTTCTCCTCCATACACACACCCCCAGTACCTGGCATGCTGCGCTGTTATGTCCTAAACCAAGAGATCCTGCTGTAGAACCTGGAATATGCCATTTAAAAAAGGGCTACCAGAGTGTCAGAGGAAGAGGGGAAAGGTCACCAAAGCAGTACCAGTGCTCATCAAGGTCACTGGATGGGAGAGTTATGGCAGCCGAGCTTATTTCCTAAGCCAAACTGGTTTAGAATCAAGTCAAACTATTTCCCAGCTTGGGGACCTGAGATAGGTTGTGGCAGTTATTTTGAAGACAACCTGACATGAGCTGGGTTGATATTGTCCATTTTTAGATCTGTGGGCAGAAACATATTGAGGCATATAGAGCGGATGTCCGTGTCAATTGTAACACTTCACTAGGCTAGGATGCTAGAAGGATTTGCGTAACTCCACTCTTAATGCCCATTGCATTGAGGAGGACACTAAATAATAAGTAATCAGTTGCACATGGCAAGAAATAACTCCAGGATTACCATATGCTACAGTGGTAATCTTACACAACCAATTGTTGAAGTTATTCTAAAGCAAAATGTTGTGGTACAATGGTTAAACTGCAGTACTTCAGTAAAGACTCACAACATGAGGCTCAGGTAGCAGACGTGAGGTTGACTCAACCTTCTATCCTTCCAAGCTTGGTAAACTGAGTACACAGCTCATGTTGGGAGTGGGTGAGTAATATATAGCCTGCATAATTAAATTGTAAACCACCCAGAGACATCTTTAAGCACTATGGAGTAGTATATAAGCAGCACACTGCTTTTGCTTTGCTTTGCAGTGGCTCCCAACCTTGGGTAACTCAGGTGTTCTTGGACTGCAACGTGCAGAAGCCTTCACCACTACCTGTGCTGGGCTGGGGTTTCTAGGACTTGTAGTCCAAGAACACCCGGGTTGCCCAAGGTTGGGAATCACTGTTCTAAAGCAAGGGTGGGGGAACATATTTTATCCTGAGACCAAATTCAGTTTCAGAGAAGTTTTTGGAAACCAGTTTTCAGTGGTGGGCAGAGAGAAATACAAAATAATGGGACCGAACATAGCAATATATATCATGCTGAAGTTCTCACTGCTATTAACTAAGCAGTAGGAGTGGCTTTCTTAACCTTTAAGAATGGGGAAAGTCTCAAAGGAAAGCAAGGAAACCACACCATGATGGTACCATGAGGGAGGAGTCTAGGGCCAGATTGAAGCCCCTGGAAGGGTAGATTCTTCTGGAAGGTCTGAGGTTCCCCATTTTTATTCTAAAAGGGACAAGAGAGACAACATTCTCTGTCACGAACAGCCTAAATTTGGCACAGGTACCAAGGAAGCATAACATGAGGGAACATTCTGAACTAGAAAAAAAATCTGCTGCCAAAATCCATATCCAGATTTCCTTTGAAATTTTGCCATCCTCAATTATTTGTTTCTTGATTTTGCATCCAAGTATTGAGGTTCATCAGCAGTTTAACAAAAAAATAATAAAAATAAAATATATTTTTAAAAAACCATGTTTGTTATGGATGGCAAGTTTTGGGTAGGGCAATGACAGAACCTCTGCTCTCAGCATAAAAATCAGCTTGGATCTCATCTATACCAAAATTTAAATCGCAGGCCAAAATCCTGTTGGTAGTGGGCAGCATAAAACTGGGCATCGTGCCAGCAGTGAGTGTGATCTTCCTCCCTACCTGTTGTATGTCTGGACATGCCCAGGGTATGCAGTTGGTTGCACATCCAGTTGTGAGCCCAAGCACATGACAGACGGCTGTCAAAACATGATAACTACTTATTGCCCTTATATAACACGATATTTTGTAAAAGGATTTTGGTCGCTATCTTCAGAATTCAGCTGTATTTAAAGACAATTAAAAATGCATTTTTGAAATTGGCCTTGTTTTCCACATTCAGTGTGAAACATATTTGAGATCTGGGCCAAGGCTGGGGTCTTATAACCTACAGAAAGATTATAATGTTGCTGCTGATACTAGATACCATATTAAAAGATAACAAATAATAACTACTAAGACTGAATACTGTCTGGGATAACCCTTATCTTCAGTATTCCTCGTGGAAGGGGTATTCAGGATGGTCCTTCCACCTGTAAGGAATCAGAATTCACAATTAATATTGATAATTAATACAAGAAGTAACGCATACCTACACATGTTGACAATGTACTAAATTCTGTTTGTACAAATTGTTAATTGAAATGAATGAGAGTTGTGCAGGGTGTGGCCAACAAGTTATGGGGGAAGAAAGACAAAATCAAAAGCTTAGTGAGTTACCATAGAAACCACTGAGGTCTGCAGTCAAGATGTCAGGGGCATCTGTACTACACAACTATAAAAGTTTGATACCACTGTAATTGCCATCTCCCTCTCCTCCAGAATCCTGGAATGAATACTTTGGTGAGAGGCTTAGAATTCTGTGATGCGGTTCATGGGAATACACCAGAGCTAGGTAGCAAAGAATTCTAAAGCATCTCAGCAAACTACAGATCCCAGGATTCCATAGGAGCCACCGCAGTTGGAAATGGCATTAAAATTCATAAGCTCGTATGTGAAGTGCAGATGCACCTTCCGTCTCAGACATTTGGTTTTATCTGCTGAATGGATTAGTTCGCTGGTAGGTGTGGCTGGTATCGGATTACACAAAGCAATGCATCCTGGGACAGAAGAAACAATGGTCATTCATTTATAAAAATATAAATGCCATCACCCAAAGCTTTGAGCCCCATATTTGGGATTTTTCCATCTCTCCTCTTATTTTCCTGTTTTCGGTACCACAGTTCTGAAGATATAAGTGCCAAGTCGTCAAGTTCTTCAGAACTATTCCAGTTCAGTTTTCAAGTGCATGGATTTGACTTCAGTTTCTTGAGCAGGCAAAGAAGACTGAGCTTTTCCACCTTTATTTTTTTTCTCTCCTCCTTTGGCTTTAGTTTTTGCTGTCTCTTCTTCCACCCCCCACTGGATGGCCAGGCATCCAATTTATAGCTGGCTGCTCTTTCTAATTAAACTGCTGAGTCTCAACCTAGATCTTGGATGCCTTTTTGGTTACATAAGGGCATTAATGACCCATGTAGCTTCCATGGGCCAAGGAAACAAAGTTGTTTAAAAGGAACATTGGCATCTATTTGTGCAATTGCTTTCAAGTTCATTTCATGGGAGACCTGACAACAGCAATATTAGTGTGAATTCCTGGGAAAATTTAGCCTCATGTAATTTGGTGTGTTCCTAATTCTTTATGGTGAGTGAATATAAATTTTTCCACATCTCCCAGAAATAATTAAGGATATTTTCAAGGTTCAACAGAAGTGTCACACTGAAGTGTCACATTACTACAGTGCCACAATTGGGTGGGTGTGTTTGACATATTTAAGTTAATTCTGCACCATGTCTTTTGTATGAGATTGATGCTTTACAGCAGTGGCTCTTAACCTTTGTTAATCCTGACGTTTTGGAGTTCAAGTCCCAGAAGCCACAAGCAGCATGGCTGATGGGAAAGGATTATGGGAGCTGAAGTTGTTCAAAGGGGTGAACAACTTCTTTATCGTATATGGCACACATAATAAAGGGAATGTACCAACCACATTTTGCTGCCTGAGATAAGTCTCCCCATTCATTCAGCTGGACTGGCCCTTGAATATTAATTCAGCCTTGACTGTGAGATGCTCTCCTCCATTCCACAACAGGTGAGTGGATTGTTTTATGGGAATGCAGAACAGCCCAGGTAGCACAGTTTTGTCCTCCAACAGGAGGTGGTGACCAGGACACGTGAGAAATGACTCAGCATTGGTCACTTGAGGTGGTTGGCTCACTCTGTCTCATAACAGGACCGTTTCTTCAACAATCACTGCAAGTGAAGATAAACCAATAGGAACAGAGCTACCTATTCCTCATTGCCTAATGAATGGGTTATAGCTAAACTGGACAATGTGTAATCCATAGACCATCTGGTGCATCCTTCCAGCTATTTTTTATGCACACCCTAGGCCCAGGGAAGACCCAGATGCTTTCCCAAGACAAAATGTATTTTTAAAAAGGAACATTTTTGTCAAAATTCTTGCTCTTAGGCGTGGCCATTTTTGCATCGATAATGTATTGGGGTTCCACAGTACTAAATAATCAATAATGTATCGGGGCTCCCAACACTAAACAAAAACATGAAGTAGAAGAAATAATGCCACCCCAACTCACAACCATACAGACACTTGACCACTTCTGATTTTCATTTTCTTTCGGTCTTTCAGGGCTTTGGTGGCCCTTGGGGAGAAAGTGCTGAGGGCAAACATTGAGCCTCCTGTCTGATCAAAGGTGGCTACCCTTGGTAGCTGAAATGAGACAAATGAGTGGTCAGGTGATGTTTCTAGGGTTGTGGCAGAGAAAGAACAGAACTGACAGGCATTTGAAGTTGTCTACGAAAGATCATCGATTATTTAACTTATATGCAGAACACATCATGCGAAAGGCCGGACTGGATGAATCCCAAACCGGAATTAAGATTGCCGCAAGAAATATCAACAACCTCAGATATGCAGATGATACCACTCTGATGGCAGAAAGTGAGGAGGAATTAAAGAACCTCTTAATGAGGGTGAAAGAGGAGAGTGCAAAAAATGGTCTGAAACTCAACATTAAAAAAAACTAAGATCATGGCCACTGGTCCCATCACCTCCTGGGAAATAGAAGGGGAAGATATGGAGGCAGTGACAGATTTTACTTTCTTGGGCTCCATGATCACTGCAAATGGGTATAGCAGCCCTTTACTTTAAAGACACCTGATTCTTGGGAGGAAAGTGATGACAAACCTCAACAGCATCTTAAAAAGCAGAGACATCACCTTGCCGACAAAGGTCTACGTAGTCAAAGCTATGGTTTTTCCAGTAGCGATGAATGGAAGTGAGAGCTGGACCATAAAGAAGGCTGACCACCGAAGAATGGATGTTTTTGAACTGTGGTGCTGGAGGAAACTCTTGAGAGTTCTCTGGACTGCAAGAAGATCATACCTATCCATTTTGAAGGAAATCAACCCTGAGTGCTCACTGGAAGGACAGATCCTGAAGCGGAGGCGCCAATATTTTGCCCATCTCATGGGAAGAGAAGACTCCCTGGAAAAGACCCTGATGTTGGGAAAGTGTGAAGGCAATAAGAGAAGGAGATGACAGCGGATGAGATGTTTGGACATTCTCACCGAAGCTACCAACATGAATTTGACCCAACTCCGGGAGGCAGTGGAAAACAGGAGGGCCTGGCGTGCTCTGGTCCATGGGGTCACGAAGAGTCGGACATGATTTAATGACTAAACAACAACAAATGAAAGATCAGGGACTATGTTACACTTCTACAGTAGTTGCAACTACTTCCTTTTTCACGTCTTGTCAGGATAGTAATGAAAAAAAACTCAATTTGACATAAATGAATGCATTTTATACCAGTGGAAACGGATGACCCCAGTGTCACAAAGACAGTGAATCTCTTCCAGGTTAAGCCCAGACATTGGGGGAGCTTCCAAAGATGGTGTACCTCAGCCCCAAAATTCATTCAGCATCTTCAGTAGCTCCTTTGCAGTGCTGCAGACTAAAAGTTTGAGCAGATTCACTGCCCCCTCAATATTAGCTGTTAGCAGAGATGCATGGATTTGTGTTTTTGGACTACAGCTCCTGGAATTCTGGGACCTGTAGTCCAAAAAGCCACAAATTTGCACCCCTCTAGTCATCCATCTCTGCTGTTCTTTAGCCAAGCTGGTGCCCCCCAATTACTCCATGGTGTGAAGCATCAAGTTGAGTCTAAAGCTGACAGAGGCCCATCCTTCTTTCTTGGGTGGGTATTTTGTATCTTCAGTTCTGAACATCAGGTAAGACTCTAGCACCTGGTTTGGAAAAGTTCTTTTTCTGGACTGCAACTCCCACCGTCTCCCACCTCGCACAGCCGGGGTCCATGGCAGATGGGTAGCAAGTAGGAATTGTCATTTTTTTAAAAAATAAGAGCAGCAAATTTCTTGTTAAAAATCATTCACCCACATACCCCATGTCTAGGATTATGTTGGTACTTACATTAACAACTCCACGTAGCGAATATTTTTATTCAGGGCTTCAATTGATTTCATTTCTTTGTCAGTGAGGGCAAAATCAAAGATCTTGGCAAGAAAGAACAAAGAAATTTTTTTTAAAAAAAGCTGTAATTTAAGACCTAGAAACGTAAGAGATTGTTATAAAGGCACCTTAGGTTTTTTTGTTTTGTTTTGTTTTTTGTTATCTGAATCCAATCTGATGATGAATGGAAGCCAATGAGAACCTTTATTGTCGCCATTTACTTAGAAAAAAGACAGAGAAGCAGCTTACAATGAGAGGATGGCTGAAATCTGGTTGCACTATGTAAAAGCCATACATTTGGGAGTGAACTGCCTTAAGAAATCTCCGTAGACGTTGTCTGTTGCACACTGAGCCATGCATCTTGGTGTGCAATAGATAACGTCTACAGTGATTTCTTAGCTTGAGGCAATCCACCTCCAAAGCTTACACCTTCCATTTAATAGCACAACAGCATTTCAGCCAGTATGTGGTAAGAAGGGGCTGCATAACTCAGTGGGTCCCAGTTTCATCCCCAGCATCATCAAGCAGGGCTGGCAAATCTCCTCCCTGAAATCTCCAACAGTTGTCTCCAGTCATTGTCAGCAACACTGGACTGCTGAGAATGAAATTTGAAAAATGGGATGTCTTCTTCGCACTCCTATGCTGTCTCCTCCAGATATGGTTGGAATATAGCTCCTGCCATCTTTCTACATTAGATGCCATGATGGGACTGATGAGATTTGCAACCCAACAGCTGAAAGATCACACATTTCACCATTCTTGTTTTAAGACACTCATAGAAACTATTCCATTGCATGCTACTCTGTGAAACAGGTTAAAGGGGAAAGGCTGTGACTGGCCCAGCTTCACTCAGCCTCTTGCTCAATAAAGATCTAACACTCAGACCTAGAGATGGGCATGAAAGATCTAACCCTCAGACCTAGAGGGGGCAGCACAGGTGGAGCTGCTCTCCTCCTTTGGCTCAGCCACTCACCAGGACCAACTTCCATGATCTCCAACTGATCTCCTGGTCCCGTCAACAGCTCAGGATTCTCTGCATTGCCATCTTGGCTGATCTCCCACTTAGCCAAAAGGGCAGGGCAGAGAAATCTGTGTTCTTGCTTGTGAATGGGAGATTTAGCATATGAAGTGGGAAAAGCAAGCAAGCCAGCTGGGTCTGGGGAGTGGCTTGATCAGCAGGGGAGGGGAGCAGCAGCACCAGTAGTGCCACCTTGACAAACTGGGACGAACTGGTTTGTGCCCATCTCTACTCATTGCAATGGTAAAAATGGCTTTATCCTGGCTTAAGGAAGGAACCTCTACTGTCCCTACCAGGAGACATCTTTTTGGACTTCAGTACCCAGAATTCTCCAAGAATTTTTCAAACTCTAGCCCACAAACGCTGGTCTTCAGGTCCCCATCTTCTCAAGAAGGGTTTTTGTGTTATTTATGTGCACCATTGGCTTCATGGAGTCAAATTTCTTTGGGAGGTGCCCCCTACAGAACCTAATTGCCAGGAAACTCCCAGGGAAGCCACTGCAAGAAGACACTCCTACTGAGGAGTTTTACATGCAAAGCAGATGCTCTATTAATGAGCTATGGCCGACACCCACTTTTGTCAACACATCACACCAACTTGGTATTCTTTTAGGGCCCCATGTGAGCTTTGATCTATTTCAGGCATCCGAAGGATTAATCTGAGAGGATCTCTGCATTGTTGAGGCTGGTTCTGGGATTCTAGGAGTTTTTTAATCCCCCCCCCAAAAAAAGTAATTTTTCCAAGTCCTGGTCAAACTAAAAGTATTGTCAACACAAATATATGTGGTAAAAAGAAGTAGGTCCAGTACTGGGTTGGCCTAAACACAAGACCTGGTTCTAAAGAGGCTGAAGGCACAAGCCCTACCTAGGCATTATACCTGTAACCACGGAGGGCTAAATGGATAGTAGGATCATACACTTCTCGATCACAACCCCCTTTTAGCTCTCTGTGATTTCAACTACAGTAGGAGCCCTTATCCGTGGGATCAGTATCTGCTGATTCATTTATCTATGGTCTGAAAATACTGTATTAAAATATTAAAAGAAAAGTCCTAGAAATATTTATTTCTAAAGGTGAAGTTACCAGAACTGGCCACTAGAGGGAGGCGGAGACCATGATACATATAGTGTTGGCTAGAGTAATATACAGTGGTGCCTCGCTTAACGATTGCTTCATTAAATGACGAAACCAGTATACGATGACTGTTTTGGGATCACTTTTGCGATCACAAAACAATGTTTTAATAGGCAAAATTCGCTTTGCGACGATCGCTTCCCTGCATCGGGAACAGATTCTTCGCATTACGACGATTTTAAAACAACTGATCGGCGGTTTCAAAATGGCCACCAGCTGTGCAAAATGGCTCCCCGTTGTGTTTTTGGACGGATTCTTCACTATACAGGCACCGAAAATGGCTGCCCCTATGGAGGATCTTTGCTGGACGGTGAGTTTTCAGCCCATTGGAATGCATTGAACAGGTTTTCAATGCGTTTCAGTGGGATTTTTTTATTTCGCTTAACGAGGATTTCGCTGTACAGCAATTTTGCTGGAACGGACAGTCCTCGTTAAGCGAGGCACCACTGTATTCCCAAGATCTCATTACCAGAACTGGACACTAGAGGGAACCAGAGACCATACTATGTATAATGTCCACTATAATCCACATTTTTCACCATCTGCGGGGGTGGTGGCTTGAACTGATCCCCACAGATACAGGGATCCTACTGTATAACACCTGACTCAGGATCTGGGTTCATACAGTGAGGTCTTCACTGTTTCTCACAGACAGAAAGCTTGTATAACCAAGAACTTGCGTAACTGAGACCAGCGCACGTTGTTACTTTCTCCATGGAGGCAAGGAGAAAGAATGGTTGATGTATTGTAATATAGCTTGTGCAGGTTTGAACCTTTACCTGAAAGTTTTCTCTAATCCGCTCTGGGTTGAAGCTCTTGGGAATGACCACCACCCCTCGTTGGATGCTGAAGCGGAGTGCCACCTGAGCTGCCGTCTTGTTGTATTTTTCTCCAATGGAATTCAGTACAGGGTCATCCAGCAGAGGAGGGGAAGACACGTTGACCCTTGTGGTAAGGGGGCGGGTGCGTGGGGAAATGGGACAAATAAATTTTCTTCTATGCAGAATTTAAAGGCAAATTGCCTAGAATGGAAAAGTATGGAAGCAAGGCCAACGCTATTATTAGGTTTTGCAAACCTTTGTGCTAAATGTATCCACTGTGAAGATGGGTGCATAGTATTTGGAGATGCTTCATGCATTGATCAGACTGGGTCCTGCTATTGATGCATGTTATATTAGAGTATCAGGGCACTTTACCAGCACGCTCACAGTCTGGGAAAAGTTATTTTTTAAGATCATTTCTCAGAATTGTAATTTCCTAAGTTCTGGTGTGGTATCTCATATAACAACAATGTGCATCCAAACTCAGCACAAAAAGAAGTATCATATTTAAATCATGTCTGAAATGTTCTGGTCCGGATATTAGGGCCACAGGCAACTTCATCTGCCTAAGGCTATAACGTTCACCAGATCAATTGATTAAAAACCTTTGACTTGATTAAGAATATGCACCTCATTAAATCATACACTGGGATTTAAAATCACAGTTAATTCTATATTTAATTCACAATCTTAAAAGGTTGGCCATAGGCACAGTCTCCTAAGAGCACCTATCTCTCTCTCTCTCTCTCTCTCTCTCTCTCTCTCACACACACACACACACACACACACACAAGGGGAGGAGGGAGAGAGAGAGAGAGAGAGAGCTTGTCTAAGGGGAAATAGCTCTTCTACACTGTTGCATACCAAGGATAGCATGCCTCTCCCAAGTAGTATGTTTTTTCATATTCAAATAAATATTAATAGGAGAAGAACATAAATATTCATAAGGAAGATTTTTAGTGGATGGGGTCCGAATGTGATTCTGGGCCTGATTTGGACACATGTCTGGAGGGCTCTGGGGAGAGCAAGAAACCACTACTTCATCTGCCTTTGCTCTATGTCCTGAAAGCAGAATTTGATGTCAAGATCATTTCAGTGTTAGCAATTGTTTGGGCACACCTCATTCTTTCAGTCTTTAATTTGCTATTTTTGTTTCCTTAAACCAGTCAAGATTTAATCACCCTCTCCTTCATCCATAGCCACCTCATCAAGGAAACTCACAGTACCTGGTGAAACTCTGACAATGGAAGTGCTTAAGAACCCAAAGCCCCTTGAGCTTATTCCAGCAAACAGGAAGTGAGAGAGATTGTTGTAAAAAAAACTCTTCATGGTCTTTTTCACCTGAGGGAATTCATGTATGCCAGCTGCAGGCATATTAAGCTGGAGAGAATATCAAGATCTACAGGCCTTCCTGCCCCCTCTCTCCCCCGCAATTAACCTCAGCATTTTCAGGAGTGGTAACAATAAATTTCTGAGTATCAGATCTCCTCCCCTCCAAGAGTGGGTCCTTTTTTTTTCCTCTTCCAAAGTAATCTATGGCCCTTTAAATGGTCGTCCAGGGACCCATAAGATTCAACTCAGTTTTCCTGAATGCAAAAGCTTACCAGCTTTCATCTCTTGATGTTCCAAGAGGGCTGTACCCAACAAGAACAATGTCATGCTGTCTGCAGAATTCCAGAAGTTTGGGTTGGGTAAAATATGGGTGGCATTCAATCTACAGAGACAAAGTGGAAAGGACAGGATTAAGAACAAAATAAACCACAAGGAAAGTTGGGTTTCATACAGAAAGCTAAAGAGACTGTATCTTTCCTCCAGCAAGAATAAAAGCAACTGGGGTTATACTTTGCAGTAGACAAAGCAGCAGATGGAAAATGTTCCTCGGCCTAAGGTTTCAAGTTCAGATTGAAGTTTCCATGGCTACAATTTGCAGAAATACATCAACAGACACACCTGCAGTAACCAGGGGAAAGCCTCCTCTGAGTTTCAATGCCTACAGGCGAAGCATCCATTTTTCCTCACATCAAGGAGAAGGTGCTCCCTTCCACCTTCAGGAGGCCAAGACATAGGCCCCCAAAACATAGCCCTGATATATCACTGGATGGACAAAATACAAGTTTATCTACAAAGAGGTGAGCCGCATCATTTTATAAAGATCAGGTTAAAATGCAACCGCATGTTTCTGATTTCCCACATGCTGACTTGGGCAGCCCATATAGAATATCAGGATGAAAACTCCCCCACAACTGTTCACATTTAGTGAGTCAATGATCAACCTTTTCCCATGTCCAAATCTTTCACTGATGACAATTGCTGGCATTACTCTGCTTTCATTCTGTGAACCAGTGAGGACAATACCCTTTGTGTGCAAAATGAAGAAACGGCCCCTCAACTCAAAGATGACAGGCATGTCCATTCTGATCATATCCAAGGATCAATCCACACAACCAGTTTGACTCACTCACAGTATGGCCCCATGACTAGCGCTCATTGGAACACATGGCAAAACTATCTTCCCTTATCTTCAATATGGACACCATTCTCCTGAAAAGCCATGATAGATCTAGAACAATTTGGATGGGCTGAAGGCTTGGGGAAAAAAGGAAGAGAAACCTCATTTCTTCCAGACCTGCAAAAAACTTTGCTGATTTGTTATTATTATAATCAGCAGAGGTCAAGGTTTCATTAATACAGTACCTGTTTTGTGGAGCTAGCCTGGTTTATCACAGGACTGATGGAGGGAATGTGACATTTATTACAAAGTTAATCCCAGTGAAAACAGAAGTCCCAGTCCATGTTAACCCCACTTTGTTCAAACTGGAGATTCTGAGGCAAGTGAGGAAAAAGGCTTCAACTGTATTAGTCCGTGTATTTCGGGGAAGACAGTTTTGCCACATGTTCTAACGAGCTCCAGCATTTCAGATACAAATTTATGCTGATGGAACACACTGATCTTTTCTGGTTGCCAAGAAAACTAGGTTCCAGCATTCTCACAGTAGGTTTTGTCTAAAAAAATGCTTAGCAGTTTATTGTCCCCCAGATCATTCTTTCATAATCAGGTCTGCAATTAATTTTTGATGACACAGCTTCCTGAGTTTCTGAGCATCGCGTCACTAATCAAGAAATGGGGCCAAACATGGACAATAAAAATTATGAGTGTAAGAAGAGTAAGGATCAGACCAAAGGCTATCTAACATTTTGTTCAAAATTACCAGCTACCTGTCCATGGGGAGCCCACCAGCTGGATATTAATTCAACAGCAACTGTTTCAGCAAGTGAGATATGGTGGTATACAAGGACCCTAACAGGGCTTTCAAGGAAAGTGAAATATTTAAGAAGTAGTTTTATCAGTTCCACTCCCCTTCCTACTAGTGAGTTTCCATAGCCGAGTGGGGATTCAAACTCAACTCTTCTGAATCCTAATCTGTCCCTATATCTACTCCACCACACTGGGTATCCCAATAAGGAGACTAAACCATCACAATAGTTTGTCTATTATGGTGGGATGCAATGTGACCATCAGTGAAGAAACAATTATCTATAACAGAGTCAAGTGAGGATGTATTCTGCCCCCTTTTCAATTTAGTTTTTGTAACAATGACAAAATGCAGGCTCTTGCCAGTATTACTTTGCATGCACCAACAATAGGTGATAGGAAACTGGCAGTATTGCTTTAGGGTCTCCAGATGTTCTTGGACTAAGATTTTCAGAAGCCTTCACCATAAGCTGTGCTGCTCAGGATTTCTGGGAATCATCATCCAAAAGCATACAGGAACCCAAAGTTGGGAACCACTGCTTTAGGCTGATGACATAGACTGGCCTCACATGGATGCTAATAGAATTTGGCCAGAGTCCCTTAAGATCAGCTGTTCAAAAGCAAAGGTCATGGACTTTAGTAGACAGGTGCAAAGCACACCAGGGGGTGAAATGGGCAGATAACCAGTGAAAATCATTCATATACCGAGGACTTTGTTTCAGTGCTAATTTAATGTGAAAGGCCCAGACAAAGAGATACTGTCTTTTTGCCACTGAAGCACTACAGCAAATTCAGAAATTTTATTATACCAAAGGAGGACAATTAGCAGTTCCCATTTTGAAAATACGTACACTTACAGAATCACAGAATTATGGACTAAGGAAGTTGGAAGGGGCCTATAAGGCCATTGAGTCCAACTCATGCTCAGTGCAGGAATAAAATAAAAGGATATCTGCGAGATGGTTGCCTAAATTTCTCTTGAATGCCTCCAGCACCTTAATCTCCACAGTCCAGTGCTGAACCTGTGTTTTGTTTCTTCTGTATTTCAGGCAGGTGTAAGAGAGGAAGGGGCAGGACAACGTCCCTCCAATGCAAGTGTAAACCTTATGTTCTAATTGGTTCAGATCGGGGGCCAAGGAAATCCTCAACAAGGAGCTGTGGTTGAGGTTTAAGTTGACAAACAGAGCAGTTGGCAAGACGGGAGCTTCTCCTTCCCTTGGAACAAGAATTAAACTCTTATCGCTTTGATTTATGTCAACACATGTGATAAATGTCAACACATGTGCACAGGAAGGCAAATCCTAGAATCATAGAATTACGATGTTGGAAGGGGCCTATAAGGCCCTTCAGTCCAATGTCCTGCTCAGTTCAGGAACACAAATCAAAGGATATTTGCCAGGTGGTTGTCTAAATTTCTCTCGAAGGCCTCCAGTGTTGGAGCACTCACCACCTCTCGAGGTAATTGGTTCCATTGCTGTACTGCTCTATCAGTTAGGAAGTTTTTCCTGATATTCAACCAAAATCTGACTTCTTGTAACTTGAACCCATTGTTGCGTGTCCTGCACTCTGGGATGATAGAGGACAGATCTTGCCCTTCCTCTGTATGACAGCCTTTCAAATATTTGAAAAGTGTTATCATATCTCCCCTCAGTTTTCTTTTTTCAAGGCTAAATATCCCAAGTATGAAGGAAAGACTGAAATGAGTTCTTTCCATCTTTCCTTGGTATGAATAGTAAAACAAAGGGAGATGGGCTTAGGGTTGTGCTGCAAGAAAAGCACAGTCCCATCACTTACACACCAAATCTATGCACACTCCTAATCTGTTGATGCTTTCTCATCATTACCTGGTTGCTGACAGGCTTGTACTTCAGGTCTGGTTTGTTCAGAATCATTTCCAGCTGCCTACGATTGAAATTGGACACACCAATGGATTTTGTCAGTCCTGCCTCTTTACATGCTTCCAGAGCCTGCCAAAATGGAGAAGAAAAAATGAGAGGCCTGCAATTGATGTACAGCTGTTTCCTTAAATGAGATTAACGAAATGGGCTGAAAAGTGAAGCTGATGTTTAGGGGAAAAGCCAGGTGCAGAAAGATGAGAAAGCTAGGACAGTTCAGAACAGACTTGGCTGAAGAAGTGGTCTTTGAGTGAGACCTTAAAGGAGGTGAAGGAGACACGCAGATGTCGTTGTTCCCTGTAGATGGAAGAGTGCAGCTGAAACAAATAAAAGGAAGTGGAAGAGGAAGACATTAATGGAAGAAACAGTATTAGAAAAGAATGGCAGGAAGACTGGGGGAAATATACTGGCTCTAAACAAGGGGCACACATCTCCTGGGGACCCCATGTGCCAACCTCTGGACTCTGGAGCCATATCTACTCCTACCCCACCAACATTTTTTTTCTCCTTTCAAGTATTACTGAACATCCCTCATGTTGTCTAGTGTCCAGAAAGATATGTTTCTTTTTCTGGGTGTCCAATGACTGTTGGGGGGCCCAAAGGATTGCAAAATTCAAACCCCTTCACTCTCTACAGGGCACAAAACACCTTTTTGAGCCAAGAAATCTTTTTTAAAGGCTTCAGCGATACTGAGGGGTGGGACAGTCTCAGGTCTCTAGGGTCCGCATATGGCCCTTTGAAAGGGTGCGAAGGCTAAGGAGATGTGCTGCAATTTGTTCAACTTTTGAAACAGTAATCATATGTTATCCCAAACTCTGAATCTGAAATAATTTCCAGCGCCGGAGGTCCTGCTGATCCAGGCTACTGTTCAGGGATCCTGACAAACTGCTTGCCAGCTATGGCAGAGATGGAGAACGTGCGATCTTCCATGTTCTAGTATTCCGATAATCTTTTCTTTTGGCGCTGATGGAACTGCAGTCTACAACGTATGTGACATGATCTATTCCCCTGTCTCGGTTTACAGTCTTCTAATTTTGGTTGAGTTGAGTAGAATCAAGTAGAAGCAACTTGATGGGGCACATCACAGCATTTTCAGCCTGTTGACTATTTGCTTACTACTGACTTATTTCCAGATCTTGGAAAGGTTCCCTCTCTGGATAAAAACTCTCACAGCCCCACCATCCACGTTGGCTGGGGGGGTGAAGGATGTCTGAAGTTATAATCCAAAGGTTATAATCCAAAAATCCAAGGGTTATAATCCAAGGGTTATAATCCAAAAATGGGACAGTTTCTAGATCTGGTTTTAAATCAGAGTAAATACTGAGTTTACTCTGGTTTCAACAGGCTGAAAATGTTCTTCTAATGTGCCATTAAGTTATGATGGCCCTAAAAATTAGTGACCTTCAAAAGGACCTGTCATATGAAGATAATGCTAAGTGAATCCATCTCATGTTAGATCTTCTGCTTTTCCTACTATTTTTCCATTTTTCCTCCCACGAAGGTTACCTCAATTAAAAGTTGAAAATATCCACTCCTTTTTTTCCACGTTAAAATATGTCCATACCTTGCAGAGATGATGGCAAGTCTTGGGACCAGAATCCAAACCCTCAGGTCTAAGTCTCAAGTCACTAGCCCCACCCTGGGACTTGGGACTCGGGACTTGGATCTGAAGACTTGGACTGAGCATACGCCACCCAGCTGATAGGCTGGCGCAGGCACAAAGACAGTGGGCCTCCCTACCTGCCGCCACCACTGCCACCCTCCACCGCCACCTGCCACCACCCACCACCACCATTTTCAGAGGCAACAGGCCTGGCTTCCCTTCTAGGAGAAAACTGCTACCTCTGCTGATGCATGCGTCACCCACCTGATAGGCTGGCTCATGTACAGATGATGGGACCAGCTCTAGAAGGGAGGTTGGCCTACTGTTTCTGCGCATGTGCACACATGCACAAACAATGGGCCAACATCCTTTCTTGGAACCAGCCCCTGCCTCCCAGGTGGATGCACCAGCCTACTAGTTCGGTGGTGCATGCATGGGTGGAGGTAGCGGCCAACTCCTGTAAAGGAAGCTGGGCCTTCTGGCTCTGAAGATGGTGGTGGTGGGTGGCGGCGGCAGCAGGAGGTATGGAGGCCCATAGAGACTCAACAATATGACTCAGGCAAATGGGTTTGCGTCATGAGTCGAGTCACAAGTCCCCCCTGAGTCTCCCAAGTTGCTTCCGAGTCATGGCACAAGTGCGACTTATGTTGGACTCAACTGCAAGTCTTGACTCACAAGTCCCCCCATCCCTGCTACCTTGACCTCTAAGCAATAGTTGTTGCAAGCCAGCTAAATGTGCACCTTCTGACTAATATTTGGTCAATTAGTATGTACATATATAGAACTGGTCTGTCAGTACAGTGCACACAAAATTCTTTGCCACCAAGTTGTGTGATAACAGCCAGTGTTTTGTTTTAAACAAAGGCTTGGACAACTCCACAGTGGGCACTTCTCTCAATAATAATTTCTCAGTGAGCCATAATATCCAGAAACTCCATCTGCAGAGGCAATATCTCTGACTATTGATATGGGAGGTGGCAATGGCTATCTTTGTTGTGCTGGGCTTCACATGAGAAAATTTAGGGAGTGGTTTTAGCAGCGCCATCCCGGGAGTGAATTTCCATGGCTGAGGAGGATTCAAACCTACGTCTTCCGAATCCTAGTTCATCATTCTGTCCGCTGCATCACACCGGACATCTTTATGATATTATGATCTTCATGACACTTACTGTGTTGTTTCCATACAATCATGATGTTTCAATATGTGGAGCATTTTAAAATGGTAGACTGTATCAGGAATACACCCCCCCCTTTCGAACAAGGTGGCAGTAGTACTGAAGCAGAGGCAAATGTAGAAAAACTTTCATTACATTTAAATTATTTTGAGCCCGTCTTGGTCAATGTTAAGACATGACAATCATGTTGGAAGTTTCAAACCTACTCACCTCCCAAGTGGCACATAAATCTGTTTCATGGTATAGCCATTTCCCATTCTCATCCAGAGGGTAAATGACATCTCCAGGCTGGAAAAAAGAAAAAGGGAGAAGGGGGGAAGCACAGGGAAATAAATCCACAATACATCAGTATTCTCTTTTCACCCCCAGTGGCATTGGGAGTGTGCAGAAGCTAGTAGTAAATGGATAAATCCCTAGATAGAATGCTGGCTGGGAGATTAATTTAAGCAAGGCTTTACTTTGCTTGGCCAGTTGAAAAACTCAACGGAGATTCAAGACTATTGTTGCTGTCATGAAAAAGTTGATATGTTGCATTTTAGGGCATTTTTATTTTATATGCCTGCAGATATCTGGTAGACAGAACTCGACAATAACTTCGCAGTTACTCCTAGCATTTATCCAGCTCCATTCCTCCTGTATTTCTAATTCAGGGCCTGATAAACTGGAAAGTTTTGGTCAAACTGTCTCTCTCCCTGTATGTTTGATCAGAAATAAAGCAGGCAGGAATAGCATCGCAAAAAGAGGTCTAAAACAGATTATCATGTTCTGATGTCAGTACCCTTCAGTGTGGCCAATACCTCAAATGAATGATGTGGGGGTAGGGGAGGAGAGGAGGAACAGGAAATTCCAAACACTGGGAACTATTTTTCAATCTCCACATAAAAGAGTTCCATATTTTGACTTTATTTTGACAGTCACCGAATCTGAAGTCAATTAACGATGCCAAACATGAAGCCAGATGCCCTCTACATAATGAAAAGAAGGGAAGGAGGCCCACTTCGCCATCTTGGATTAGATTTGTTCTTGTTTTTAAGAATGTACACTAGCCATAGTTTGTCTGGTATTGCAAAGAAGTTATGAATGGCCTCATCAAAGCATGCCAGGCTGCACAATTGCCTGTGCTATGTGGACTGTGTTGTAACTGACACCATCATCATCTTTTGGAGTAACAAAACATTGTCACCAGCAAGCCTCTATAGATGGTTGTGTATCCTACTTGACAGGTTAAACTGCTGTACTGCAGCCAAAACTGTGCTCACAACCTGGGTTCAATCCCAGGTAGCCGGCTCAAGGTTGACTCAGCCTTCTATCCTTCCGAGGTCGGTAAAATGAGTACCCAGCTCGCTGGGGAGGCAATGTGTAGCCTGCATAATTAACTTGTAAACCTCCCAGAGAGTGCTTGAAGCGCTATGGGGCGGTATATAAGCAGCACGCTTTGCTTTTTTGCTTTTGCTCTGTTTGAAGGGTTGTCAAATTCAGAGGAGTTGTCGGCAAAAGCCTGCTCAGTTTATTTTAAAGACGAGCAATCCATATGCTTTTTGGTTGCCCACCAACTCAAAAGCAGTTGGACAGCAGACAAAGCCGGTGCACAAGTGTTGGACCGGGTGATCCGCCTTTTCATGAGGATCAGGTGTATATGCATTTGTATGTTTATATAAATTATAGTAATAAAATAATCAAATAATGCCGACCCTATGAATGAGCGATCTCTAAAATGCCCTATCCTTGAAAGCCCCACCCAACTCCTAAAGACTCAAGCCTGCAGCTTCCTTTAGGGCACTGGTTCTTAACCTTGGGTTACTCAGGAGTTTTGGACTGCAACTCCCAGAAGCCTTCACCACCAGCTGTCCTGACTGGGGTTTCTGGGAGTTGCAGTTCAAAAGCATCCGAGTAACAAAGGTTAAGAACCATTGCTTTAGGGAGCCAGCCTGTCTCATACTTGGTTTTCTTTTTTCCCTGCTGTTTTCCACCTTCCCGAGGTTTAGCATCTTTTCTAGAGAATCCTGCCCTCTCATGATGCGCCCAAAGTAGGACAGCCTCCGCTTCAAAATTTTTGCCTCCAGAGATCGCCTAGGCTGGATTTGATCTAGGACCCATTTGTTTGTCTTTCTGACAGTCCAAAGGTTTCCATTTCTATCAGCAAATAAATGGCCTGCTTTACACTCCCCCCCCCACTGTATTTTGTTGGCCAAGAGATTCCGGAAGTTGTAGTCTAAAAATGTAAGCTTTCCAAGCCCTGGTTGCAATAAAGAATGTTGAGTTGTGCCTGGGAGATGTCATTTTTAAGCTTTAGCCCCATTTTTCAATGTTATATTATTCTATCACGCTGATTTACAAATCACTTTGGGAAGTTTGGATATGGGCTGTAACATAAGCTCAAGTCTCCTTGAGCTCAAGCAGTGAATGGAAACTGTGCCAAGCACAATATTATTGGTAGATGTATGAGTAAGCAGTTGGTATTGCCATATTTTATCAACAACTATTGCTCATTACAGTAACATCTGAAAACACTCTTCACCTGATCCCTTCCAGTGCTATGATTCTATGTCACAGTGAAGCAGGGCATACCTCCTTGCTCTCTCTGTGTGCTTGTGGTAGAGGTGGGAAGATAGTTACCGATGGTTGTTCAGGGACACCCTTGGCTCCCATGCAAATCTCTTAGCCCAGCTCATCTAGCAAGCCGTTGCAATCAACACCAACAACATCTGATTTATAGCCGTTCTGAGACTCAAGTCAAACAGCAGTCTTCTGTATGTACAGAAGAGGCTGAAGGAGGAGGACATAATCTGTAAATGTCAACGGATTGCTCAAAGTTTTCATTGCTCCCATTGACAGACACTAGGAGGAGCTCTCACATAACTCTTTACCTTAAAAGCCATCGGTAGCTCAATAATGTAGAGATCGACATAGTCCAGCTGTAAGGTCTTTAAGGTCTTCTCCAGAGTTGGCTTCACCAGCTCTGGTGGGTGGCACGTGTTCCACAACTAAGGGGAGAAACAGATGAAATATAAATAAAGTTGCATCTTCCCCACAGAGCTCTTCCAGATTGAATTTGAAATGTATAACACGGCCTTTTGAGCCTATCCACATGAACGGAGACAGCCACACTCACATAAAATACTAGAAATGGAAGACTATAAAGAAGCAAGTTTTTTAAAACAAAAACCCTACAGCTACGTTTTCATTATCCATGGTAGTTTTCCCAGAACTGCATGTACAGAGTTATTCTTGCAGTATAATTAAGGCTGTAAGCCCCCCACATCTCCTCAAATTCAATAGAACATGGTTTTGAAAACAGGATTCCATTCTGAGAGCTAAACTGCTATTGGAGTAGTATAATTGCCCCAGAGCTTAGAAATACTGTCATTGTTGCTGTGGTTGTTCTTGTTGGCACTGGATTGTTGTTGCTGTTGTTGTTGTTGTTGTTGTTGTTGTTGTTGTTGTTGTTGTTGTTGTTGTTTAGTCATTTAGTCGTGTCCGACTCTTTGTGACCCCATGGACCAGAGCATGCCAGGCCCTCCTGTCTTCTACTGCCTCCCTCCCTAAATCCACATAATGGTCCAGTGTAGACAAAACATGACTTTTCCAAGCTTCAAAATATGTACTTAAGTGACATCTTTATTAGGCCAACTCAAACAATGGCTTACTAGAAGCATCAATATGGTTTATGGAATTTGTTCTGTGACATGTCTATATCCCTGCTATTTTTCCCTCCCATTTTCAGATATCTCCTTATCATTTCTACTTTCCAAGAATAACTGCATGCTTAACACAGGTAGTCAGAGATATTTTTAAAAAATCTTCTTTATCGATTACTTTTCCTTTATGTTGGGCTTTTTCTCTCATGAGTTTAAAACCATGTACGTGGTGCTCCTCCTTCTCACCTTATCCCCACAACAGTTCTTTACCCTCACAACAACAGTCCTTGCTGACTAAGGAATTCTGCAGCTTGAAGTCCAGAAACACAATTCTGCGCACCTCTGCTAATCATTAACTCTCCACCTGCTGACAGTTCTTGGTTTGACTCCCAAACTGCCTGGTTTGTGAAAAGGACAAAGGGGTGCTCCAGTCCTCTTAACATTTGTGAGAGAACCCCTTAAAATTTCTTTAGAGTGGGAATTATGGATTAAAAATATGGTTAGAAAGTTACTTTAAAAAGAATGATATAATGACGTGCTGAAGTAATTCATAACTGACCAGTGGGAGGTTGATATTCCATGCCCTAAAGCATCTTCCTACCACTACTGAGCTATGGATGACATCACCCCATATATTCATTCAACATTGTTGTCCTAAGTCTGCCTGTCAGCTCCCACTAACTTAATGCTGTAAAGTACCATTGAATACAAGAAGATTTTGAACTGCCCAGAGGAATAGGCTAAAATTGTGGGCTGAAATCTGATGTTAATCCCAATTAGAGTGGACAATTAAATGAATGGAAACTTGGTCAATTAAAAATGGCATACATGTTGTTGATTCCATGGGTCTCCTTTGGCTGGAAGTGCCAACTGGATTTTGACTCAGGAGCCCATCCTATTCTAGGGATTCCCATTTACGAAATGATTTCTCATAATTTTAATAAAAGATTACCTAGAAAACAGCTTCAAGGAAATAAATTGCAACTATTAACTACATCTTTGGATTCTGGAATTTTTTAAATTTAAGATTTTTCCCTTGTTTCATATCAGCCTGCGCACGCGCGCGCACACAGTCATAGTTTAAGAACTTACGACACATGGAAAAGTTGCCAAATAACACTTCTGTCCGAGGACATCACTTTTTCTAAAGCACTACTTTTTCCTTCACAAAAGAAAAAAAACTCTTGAGAAAAAAAGAAGAAACTGTAGGAACAGCCAAACAACTAGCACAAAATCGATGGCAACCGATGGATGGGGTGGGAAAATAACATCTAGCATCTGTGCATGCAGAACTACATAATGCTTTGTCTTTGAGCAACATGCCAACATACAGATACAGGTGCTTTCAGCCAGGAACTGATTTACGACCATGCATAGTCGTTCTGTGGGGCCAGCCCTATCCTTAGGTAGAGGGGCATTGTTGCCTCAATCAGCAGATTCTGGATGTCGTAAAAGAGGAGGCAACTGTTAGCCAATCTGCTTGTAGTTATCATATTTGTACTGCTAGACACAGGGAAAGATTTTCTAGCACTTGGGTGCCAAAATAACTTGGCTGGCTTTGGATACTGCAAATATAGTGCCAGGTATGTGGTATGTGGCATCAGGCAGCAAAACGTCTTAGGTGGCATTGTGGCCCAACAGACCCAAACAGAGGTCATCTGAATAGCTCAGAAGAACCCTCAACCCTTTCTGTACATTATACAAAACAACCTAACAGTAAATGTATTTTGAAGCCGTCTAGGTTGTTTTGCTTGTTGGACAGAGGATTGGAGGCAGGATGCTACTCCTAAAAAACTATTTTTCCATGGTCTGGGACAAATATTCACAATTTTGTCTTTTCAAGAAACAAGTAACTCCATCTTTCATGAGGAACTGACCGTCACTTGCAATTCTTCGCAAGTGGAATCAACATAATGTTTTGAACCTTGATGAATGATCCCAGACACCATTGTTCAAGACCTTTTCCTCATGTGGAGTTAACATTTCATTTTTCTTTCTTTCTTTTTTAATTTTTTTTTATTTTCCAACAAAGGATTTAAAAAGCATGTGGAGTTAACATTTCATTTTTCTTTCATTGTTAATTTTTTTTATTTTCCAACACAGGAGTTAAGAACATAGGTATGTAACACAATGTGCATTTAAACAGTAAGCATAAAGTGTAAGAATCTCTAACCCTCGAACAATAAACAAAGATAATCTAAATGCAAAAAAATGTCTAAGGCTCAACATAAAAGCAATCTTATATATTGGAATATTTTTTCTGGTGAGATCTTATCCATGACATCTCACTTTTTATCCATTTTCTGTTCCTTTACTGCAGGACTTTCACTTTCCACCAATTATAAAATAAAATCCAGCTTAAAATAAAAAGATGATTCTTCTTGTCCCTTTAGCCTCGCCATTTCTGCACTTTCTAATATTTTTTTAATGATCATATCATCATTTGGTGCATTTTCATCTTTCCAGACCTGTGCCCATATTAAACTAGCTGCTGTCAAAACATGCAGTATTTAATATGAGCTTTGTACATCTATAGTATTTGGTAGTAGTCCTAACAAAAATATTTCTAGTTCAAATTCTATTTCCTATTTTGACATTTGCTTAATCCACATGCGGATTTGAGCCCAATAATTTTTTGCTCTATCACGTCCACCATACATGATAATAACTTCCTTCATGATTTTTTACATTTCCAACACTTGTTTGACATCTTTGGGAACATTTTTGCAAGTCTAACTGGTGACAAATGCCATCTATAAAACATTTTATATAAATTTTCTTTGTGGGAAGTTGCTAATGTTAACTTATATTTTTTTTGTCCAAAGTTTTTGCCATTTTTCTAATTCCATATTATCGCCACAGTTTTTAGACCATTTTAACATTGTATCTTTAACGTCTTCATCTTGTGCATCCCATTGCAGATTTTGTTTTACAATTTTTGAATTTGTTTTAAACTTCTTCATCTTGTGTATCCCATTGCAGAATTTTTTTTTACAATTTTTGAATTTTTTTTTACTTCTATAGTAAGTAATATTTTGTTAAATGTTGTATATTCTTTATAGAAACCTTGTGCCTTCTTATCCTGGGTATAAATTGATTATATTTGCATTTGAGACCACCATGAAAAGATTAGTTAACATTTCTTGATCATTGCTGTCTAACAGCCAAATGCCTTTCTCTTTTTTAAAAGTCAAGCTTTAGACACAAGAAATTAGCCATTTCCTGCAGGCTACAATAACTACAGACATTTCCGGCACAGATCAATGAACAGCTTCAAAGATGGAGCCTTTTGACAGAATCTGGGTTTTATTTTCCCTGTACAGCCAATAGTTTAACGTGACAGAGTCAAGGTTAATTTGAACCACATTTATACCCCCCTAGTCTGCTCTTTCACAAGCCCTTGTAATTATTAGGGAGATTCCACACACACACTCAACAGCACATTGTCCTCCCCCTCGATAGACAGTTAATTTATCATGACATGTGTTCATGAATGTATATAGGTATGATAATAATAATATGCTGTCAATTCAGTTCTGACACATGGTGACCTTTTTCAGGGGTTTCCAGCTAGAGAATACTCAGAAGTAGTTTACTGTTCTGAGAACATCTTGGGATTGTGCAACGTGCCCACGGTCACATGGGGTGGCTCTTCTGAGATGCTCAGTGGTGATCTGAAGTCCCCGCTTTTGACTCCTCAGCCAGATACTTAACTCACTGAGTGATCAAGTAAATTCTTTCATGCATTGCATATGCTGCCTTTCTCCTCATAAGGAGACTCAAGATGACTTACAATCAACTAAAACCATACAATAATTGCTATTAAAAACATTATAGGAAATACACTAAAACACATTTAAAAATTTAACATTAGAAAACACAATTAAATACACATCTGTAGCAATACAAAATAACTGAAAACCGTTTTAATTTTTTAAAAACATTCATAAAATTTGGTTTTTAAAAAAAACACTATTGCATAAAAGCCTCCCAGAAAACATAGGTCTTTGCCTGATGACAGAACGACAAGAGGGGTCATCCTAGCTTCTTGAGGGGCAATGCATTCCAATGCCTGGGAGCAGCCACTGAGACGGCCCTCTCTTGCACCCTCACAAAATGAGTCTGTGAGGATGATGGGGCTGAGAGAAGAGTCTCCCTAGAAGATCTTGAAAGCCAAGGAGGCAGATATCAGGTGATACATTCATACCAGAGTCTAGAAAAGTTATGTTTCAGATTAAAATTTCCAGACACCATGCTTTCTACAACCCCTTTTAAAGTACAGGACTCAAATTAAAGGGAAATCTCTGGCCTATGGGACTGAAGTGCTAGCAGTTCCAATCTGATTTGAAAAGACCCAGTGGTAGGATTGCAGGATTCCATTCCTGACTTTTCAGGCTACAATCTGAGACCATGGATCAGGAGAAATTGTGAATAAAATAAGCACAGATGCTACTACAAGGTAAATTTTGCTGGATAGCTCAGTGGGTAAGGAATCTGGCTGTGGAGCCACAGGTTGGCAGTTTGATTTTCCACTTTGCCTCCAACAAGTCAAGCCAGCCTGGGTGTCCTTGGGCACCGTCCCAGGTTGCCCCCAGAAGAAGGGAATGGTAAACCACTTCTTTGTACTCTACTTAGAAACCCCCCAAAAAGGGTCACTAAATATCAGAATCGACTTAACCCCATGCAACAACAACAACAAGTGGAATTTCTGGATCCAAACTGATAGACAACTTTAACATAACACACCAAACATGATAGTAATAGAACAAAGAAATGTCTGGATCACTGACATTGCAATTCCAAGGGATGCCAGAGTTAAAAATAAAGAATTTGAAAAACTAACAAGGTACAGAAATCTGGCAATCGAAACATCTCGCCTCTGGAAGAAACACACTTCAGTGGTCCCTGTAGTCATTGGGGTTTGGGAGCAATATCAAGAAATTTCACACAGTACTATTAGCAGTTGCAGATCTCAGAAATCACACCATCAGAACTACAAAAAATGGCAATATAAGAACAGCATACACACTGTGCTAATATTTGATACTTATGTTTTGGTTAAAACTTGTATCTGTTATACAATACCAGTCAATGCTTTTATAATTTGATTGTGCCTTGATAATAATAATAATAATAATAA